TCAAGTCCATGGACTTCTGTGGAAAAGAACTTCTTATATGAGCACTGGATCCCAACTCTACCTCGAGCCTTCCAATCTCAATCAGAACAGTGCAAGCTATAAAAGACATCGAGGCCATCTCTGTGATAGCTGTTGTTGACCTGAAATGTGTGGCCACCCAGTTTAGGTGCTTCACAGCAAGCATATTCAGCATCAAAATTCACTGCCAATATACTTTGGGCTCTTGCACAACAATCGTCCACATAAGTATTACCCTGATTACTTAGCCCAAAATTACCTCCTCTGCCGTATCAAAAGCTAGCCTAGCCTGGTTTTACTGCACAAAATTACCTCCTCTGCTATATCAGAAGCTAGCCTAGCCTGGTTTTATTGCAAAGGACTATTCATATAGATTGTATACTTATAGATGATATTGCACAGTGTCAAATAATAATGATTTGGCTCAGTTTTACGTGAAATTTACCGGTGTGTGTGTGCAGATAACAGCCTGTTCCCTATTTTTTCCCATTACGGTGCTATACATAAAATTTATACCGTGAAATACTTTCTTGAGGACACTGTTGTCTTGTGCATTTTGTAGAAGTAGAAATTTATAAAAATAAAAAATTATCCCCATCACCAGTAGCAAAAGAAGTCTTCCATACGAAGTTCCGTCGGTATTTGGGTGATTTTTTCTTGAAATAATTCTGTCATTTTGATATATAAAATAGCTTAGGATATAAACTGTCCAATTTTTCTCATCAAATCACAAACTGTCCAATAAATCTTTAAAATAATCTGAGAACTTGAATTCCACTATATTTTAATTCTCTATTAGTTATAGTACAATTCAAAGTTATTCCAGAACACAACAACATTAAAAACTTCGACAAAAGTAAAAACAAGAGTAACTATTTCATGAAAAAAAACTTGATGACTCCAAAATAAAATTTGAATACATGACTATTATCTGTACTTCCAAAAGCAAATCTAAAAACATCTAATTCAAAATTTCCCTACATTAATCTGTACAAGATCATGCTCAAGACAGTGAAATTTTAGACACAGACACCATGTTTGGTTCTCATGCATATTGTCTTCTACACCTCGGAGACGATACTCAGGCCACAGCCGCTGCTACTGCTTGCAGCATCAAAGAGGCGAATTGAAACTTCCTTCTTCTTCTTCATTGAAACTACCTTTGTCTTCTTCATTGGAAAGTTATAGGAAGAGGAAAAGGAAGATCAAGATCATCAAAGAGGCAAATTGAAACTTCCTTCTTCTTTTTCATTGAAACTACCTTCTTCTTCTTCTTCTTCATTGGAAACACACTAGGAATAGGAATAGGAAGATCATCTCCATCATCGAACAGATTTAAGGAAACCCTCTTCTTCTTCATCGTAGACATGACTGAATTTCTATATTGATCAAAGAATCTCTCTCTTTCACTATCTTGTTTGAAGTAAATATTTAAGGAAACCCTCTTCTTCTACTTTTTGTCGTTGGACTTGGCTAAATCAATGCTCAATCCGTAATACTTGCTCGCTAAATCTAAATAAATACTTGCTAATGGTTTTGAGCGGATGTGTACTTTGGCCCCTCTAATTGCTAGTGGTTTGAGGTGAATTTGCTATGGACTTTGTTTTGATTTGCTGTGCTTCTTAATGGTTTTGATTTGTAGTATAATAAAATAAGTTCACCTTTTCTCTTGATTTCTTTTATACAAGGTTGCAGCTTTCATGAACAGAAGACTTGAAAGTATCTCTATATGAATTCGAAGTGAATGTATCTATGCACTTAAGAGTATCAATTCAAATCCAATTATTGAGCCTATTATTTAAAATAGAATAACACTTGTTTGAAGTATCTACCTTAACAGCATATGGATTTAGCAATTGCAGATAATTAATTTGCACTTCACTTCTGCTCCTCATTATCACATGTTCCCTAATCCCTATTCTTACGAGGTGCTAATTTTATTTTTCTGGTACATGGAGCCTACTGGTATTTGTTCTTAATAGAATGCAAAGATAGATTTTGGGGTAATGGAATGTGTTAGAATTATAGTGAATTGCTGCTCCTCATTATCACATGTTCCCTAATCCCTATTCTTACGAGGTGCTAATTTTATTTTTCTGGTACATGGAGCCTACTGGTATTTGTTCTTAATAGAACGCAAAGATAGATGTTGGGGTAATGGCGTGTGTTAGAATTATAGTGAATTGCCTAATTTAGATTATGGAGGACACCGCCATGCTGACTATTCGTTTCTCAATGTTTCTTGTCCTCTACTAGAACCCAATGAAATAAAGAGCCCCTCAGACTTTGATTTTGGCATATTCCTTGATGGTCTTCAATCCCATGTGGTCGATCACAAAGACTTTCCTAAGATGATTTTCTACTGCTTGTGGTGGGAACTGAGGAATTTGAGGTTTGTGGTACAACTGTTTTCTTCAACTCTGATTATCTCAAGGCCAGGGACTTTTGTTGACAAGAACTTCTTTTATGGGCTCTGGATCCCAACCCTTCCTCCAGCCTTCCCGTCTCAACCAAAGCAGTTGAAGCTATAAAAGACATCGAGGCCTTCTTAATGATGGCTGGTGACCTCAAATGCGTGGCCTCCCAATTTAGATGTCTTCACAGCAAGCATATGCAGTTCTGAAATCAACTTTATTATGATGTCTTCCTTTTGTTTTTTGTTTTTTTTTCCTGGTATCATGAGTACAAATTTTATCCCTCTGAACTCTCCCAACGGAATGATAGGGACTAAGTCGTAATCCGTAACCCTGGAGCAACAATGAACAAAACAAAAAACAGTAATGCACAAAAAGAAACAAAAGGAAAAACTTATCATGATTCATCCTCAATGTGATAGTTGTCCCTTCACCGCTACTTTAATGGAGGAGGCTAATTACAATGTTTTCTACAGAAGTTGTAGAATTTTGATCGGAAAAGGCTAAGATTGCTTTTGATTTCTGTTACAGAAATATTTGTAGTCCATCACTGTTGGAGTAGAAGAGATGAGAGTGAAAAGGTGAAATGCAAAGCAATCGGTGTCCCACTATATGCTTCCTGATGATTTGTGAAAGGGATTAGATGATACGAGCAATACGAATGACAAGAAACCAGAGGCGCTGAGGAAGAATCTATGATTAATAACCTGCCTAAGGACTTAAGAAGGGATATCAACTGCCATCTTTGCTTAACTTTTACATACTAGTGTAAGTGCACTTCAATACTACTCTTAGGGTACTCTTTATTCAAGTTTGGTAAATAGTAGTGCACGGTATTGCATGGAATAACATGCATGGTTTTAGCTTGTTTTTCTTCTCTAATCATATCGACTATTTATTACAGGTGCCAATGTTTGAGAACATGGACGAGCACATGCTGACGCAATTTGTGATCATTTGAAGCCTGTTCTTTACACAAAGAAGAGCTTTATTGTTTGAGAGGGAGATCCAGTTGATGAGAAGATCTTTGTATTGACCATGACGACTAATGGTGGGAGAACTGTTATCTTCCACTCTGATTATCTCAAGGCCAGGGACTTTTGTGGAGAACTTCTTTTATGGGCTCTGGATCCCCAACTCTTCTTCCAGCTTTCCCATCTCAACCAGAACAATTGAAGCTAATAAAAGACATCAAGGCCTTCTCTCTGATGACTGGTGACCTGAAATGTGTTGCCTTCAAATTTAGGTATCTTCACAGCAAGCATATTCAACACACTTTTAGGCAAGTTCTGAAACCAACTTTATTGTAGTGTCTTCTATTTTTATTTTTATTTTGGTAAAATGACTAAGCTGTAGCCTGTAATCCATAACCCGGAAGCAATAACCAACAAAACAAAAAACAGAAATGCACAAATCGAAACGAAACGAAAACCTCATCATCATTCACCCTCAATGTGAGTAATGTCCATGCACCCCTACTTTGATGGAGCAGGAGAATTACAAGGTTGCATCACACCTTTCTGAAAAGACAACCCTATACAAAATATATTGATCTGCTGTTTGAGGTAATACGTGAATATTATAATTAGGCTCCTCGGATGGAATATTTCTGTAGTTTTTGAAGAAAATAAGCATGACTCGGTTGTTTACACAAGTGCTTCAGGTTTTACTCCCAGCAGAGGAGGACATAGGCAGCCTTCTTAATCCAAGTATCATCGCGGCGACATTGCAGGAAGAAGATTGAGAAACCTTTGCGAGAGGCAGAAGATAGAATGCACGAGGGCCAAGGGCTTGGCGAAAGAGGGTGGGAGCTCACCTAGCCTCGTTACCACCATTTATGCGTCAAAATCTGCCAGTATGCTTTGGTCTCTTGCGCAACAATCGTCAACATAATGTTAAATTATTACCTAGCACAAAATTACCTATTCTGCTGCTTCATAAGCTAGCAGAGCCTGATTTTACTGCAACAGACAATTCGTATGGAGTGTATACTTATAGATGACATCGCATAATGGTATCCTATTGGAAAACCTGATGTGTCACATAATAACAGTTTGCCTCATTTTTCCTTTTCTTTTTTTTGGTATATACATATATTATATAGTATTTTGATACACAATTGCCTCTGTCGATGTACCTGGATTTCGCTCAGTTTTACGTGAGATTTACCAGTATTTATGTAAATAACAGCCTGCATCTATTAAATGCTTTCTTGAGGACTGTATTTTCTTCTGCATTAGCATCAGTAGTTACAATTTTTGCAGACAAAAAGTTGCATAAAAAAAATGATCCCCGCAAGAAACCTGTCGCTCGTAGCAAAAGAAGTCTTCCATACAAATTCCATCCGTATGGGGTAATTTTTTCATGAAATAATTATCTGTCATTTTGATAAATAAAATGGCTTAGCATATAAAGCTTCCGGTTTCTCATCAACACAAACTGAAGAAGTTTTGAACTCTTTAAAATATTCTAACAACTTGAAATTCTACTGTATTTGAATCATCTCTATTAGTTATAGTACAATTCAAAGTTATTCCAAAACAAAACAATGTTAAAAACTTCGACAACAGTAAAAAAAACTTTATAACTCCGAAATAAAATTTGAATACATGACTGTTATCTGTACTTCCAAAAAACAAATCTAAACACTTCTAATTCAAAATTTTCCTACATTAATCTGTACAAGATCATGCCCAAGACAGTGAAATTTCAGACACAGACATCATGTCTGGTTCTCATGCATATTGTCTTCTACTCCTCGGAGACGGTACTCGAGCCACAGCCGCTGCTGCTGCTTGCAGCATCGTGATGGGTGACCGCTTTCTTGATATTGAGAACCAAATGGAATTGGGAATTTTGGCGATATCCCCACAGTTGAATCCAATCACCTTCCTCCAATTTGTTTGCTTCCACCAGTTTACTCCATTCTTTTTTAAGCACAACCATTTTCAAGGCACCCCACCTCTTCATGTGCAACATATAGTATTTACCTTTCGGATCAATTGTAAGAATCTTGACACTGCCTTGGTTAACTTCTACCAACTTTCGCTCCACTTCTGTCAAGAATTCCATGACTTTTTCTCTGTTATGAGAAAGAAATATCCGATTCTGATCAGGCTTAGTATCAGAACTTGTGAGCCTCTTTTGGTACAAGAAAATTGGCACGGTCCCTCCATTCAATCCTATTTCTCGCAAGATTTCAGGAAGAAGTGGTTCCGGACGAGGCTCCGGCTCGTTTTGTACATGGTTACGAATTCCGTCGCCTTTCCGCTTTCTATTTTTCTGAACAGTTCCGGCAGATTGGGGCACTGCTTGGCCTGAATAAGGAGCAATGGCAAGAGCTGGTTCAGTATTTTGATTTAGGCTTGAGTAAAGGTTTTTGTACTGGGTTTGAGGCGGCACTAATGGCGGTGGTTGTTGATCATGAAGAAGAAGATCATCAAAGAGGCAGAGTGAAACTGCCTTTTTCCTCTTCTTCATTGGAAGCATGTTAGGAATAGGGAGAGGAAGATGAAGATCTTCATTATGGAACAGATTAAAGGAAACCCTCCTCTTCTTCATCGTAGACATGACTGAATTTCTATATCTATTAAAGAATCTCTCTCTTTCCCTATCCTGTTTGCAGTAAAAAAATTTCTGTGAACTGACTGGGGGAAGGTTCCCTCTTATATAGATGTCTGGGGTAATCAAATTCCAATTCGGAACAGAGACTCATGCAACCCCTGAAACTCTTTACTTTATGGAAACAATCGTTGATCAAAATAAGGAAATATTTTTCATGTTACCTTATATGTTCTCTCTCTCTCTCTCTCTCTCTCTCTCTCTAACGGTAAAATTGGAAGCAATTAATGCTAAATTCTGACTCAGATTACTCCCTATTGCGAAGTTACCTCTTATGCCACCACACGCCCGAATTTCTTTTGAAAGTCTCGCCCACTTTTAATACCCAATGAATTTGTGAAATTAAAAAATTTTATTGGACAAACTTATTGGTATAGAATAAAAAAGAGTAATGTTATTCGTAATGAAGACTGTCAGTAGTCGCCCTATATGGCATACACTTGGCAATTTGGTATTTGATACATAAATATGATAGTTATTTTTTGAATTATACATCAAATGAAAAACTGACAAGTATACGCCACATAGGGCGATTGCCGGTTGTTTTCACTGCAAATAGTATTATTCAATAAAAAATAACTGTTTCTCATTTGTTTCGGTTGTGTCATTGTTGGGTGTGTTATTGTCAACCATCGACAAAACATTTTGAAAGTTAGAAGGGTTATTTGGTTGCGAGTGTCTATTCTTAATCTGAGCGCATATTCTTGGCTATAAATTGAGTAAATAGTTTTGTTATTCTCGCGTGTCTTTCTTAGTATGTGAGCACAAGAGGAGAAAATTTTAAAGGTAGATAAAAAGAATAGTTTCAAAAGTGGTATTGTTTTCTTCGCTTTTCATATTCAAATTTCTTAGTATGTAAATACAACTTCTATCATGTAAAAATTAAAGACAGCTCAAGTAATATATGGATTTTAGGTAGAACCTTTGAAGGTCCTTCGCAAAAATAATGACCACCATGATACACACACATGTGCACGTGCTCAAGTAACTAACAAATCAATAGTTACAATAGGGTCATAAATAAAGGATAATTTATTGGTGCACAAATGATAAGTATGATATCATTTTAATGATAAGCTATGACATGATTTTAATGATAAGCTACCTAGTGACCTAAAAATTAATTTGAGATGTAGAATATAGTCTACAGATTCTTGGATATATTTGCATGACTTCGAAAATTTATGTATACAACTTTGACCATTATTGTGAATTTTCATTCTAACCTTGTGAATTTCGATGATTTTACCTATTCAATTAGATAATACATGTAATCCCAATAGTTTAATTCGAGATCAATAATATCTAGAATGTAAAATTTTTGAAATGTCTGCATTTAGGTAATGAAAGATGCTAGGCTGATAGGGTATTTTGACGAGGAAATGGACATGGCACCCCTATTGGAGGGGTGCTCGCGCATGCGGCGCCATGTCCATTTCCCTGTCAAAATACCCTGTTTGAATGGTTTTTTTCCTTTAGTAATTTGCATGTAGCCCATTACTGAATTTATAATGTATAACATCAAGTGTTAGCCTTGGATGTAATTTCTGCAACTTTGATCAATTAAGCCCCTATTTGATTTGGATAAAATTAAATCTTTAGAAGGTTTTAATAGAAGTTGATAAAATATGTAGTTGAAAAGTAGTTAAAAGTTATATGTACCATAAAATGTTCCATTGAAAATGAATTTGAAGAAATATGAATTTTAAGAAGGGTCAAAAGGACATAACATCATTGACCTTGTGACACATCTACGATAATGGAGAAACATTTTGTTAATATTTTTATTTCTATATTATATCACTTTTATCAATAGTAATATTGTTAATCTTTTGATGAGATCACCATGATAAAGTATATTTAATACTAAAAACATATTGATTGCTAAAATATGAAATATTGGAAATGCAGATATGTTGATTGATTAAAATGACATTGATCAAATAATCAATACATAAATAAAATGTTGGTATATGCACATGATGGTGGAATGGCTAGATTTACAAGCAAATTGAAGGGTGATGGCATGAGTGCACGAAACTAAAATGAGCGACTTAGATGCAACACTATTAAAAGTTAGTGACTCACATTAAATTATTTATTAGACATTACTTCCATGGAATAGCTCAAGAAAGAACCAGTATCTGTACAAACCTCTTTTTAACTGTTTGCAAATTTCTCACAAAAGCACCACTTCCATGGTCAGTTATCATCTCTCTTTCAATTTTCATACAAGAAACATTAAGTGCATGCTTGATATGCATTACTAAATAGGACTCGACATTATGACTAGCAATAGTTTAACTTATTTTCTTTTGTAATACTGTCGAGTACTAGTCAACCGTCTCTACCAAATATGCCATAAAGATTACAAGAAAAAATCCATCTTCACTGCCTTTGTCTACTCATACTCCTTTTTCCTCCGACGACCTGTCATAGAGTGCCTGACTGCCTTCGTAAAGAAATAACACACCACCATATTTAAATATTTTATAGAATGATATTTCTGTTCAAATGATTCCAAGCCTTCAATATAAGTAATCATCTTTGGTTAAATTTAAAAGTTTCTTCTGCTATCTGACCTCAGCTCTTGGTTGTCACTTTTGTCGGTGTCCGAGTTCTCCCGTTGGGATTCCATATCCGTGCTACTTGCTCGAGTTCTTCTGTGCCTTCGATCCTAGATAATTCAAGTACAAAAATACCCAAAATTCGTTCATTTTTTTGTGGCTATTTCAAGGAAGTTCTCGTATTATATATTTCTAATGGAGCAAAATCGGATATCTCATTAGCTAAAAGATGTGAAAATCAAACCCTGCTCTAATACCAACTTGTTATGAAAAACAAAAATAAGCCATATATAACATACGAAAAAGAACGCAAGAATTACGTGAAAATCCAACACAGGAAAAAACCATGGGCAGAAGAGGAGAAATCTACAATATCAAATATATCTAAATATAGTGACAACGAAACACAAAGGCATATATGCACTCACGAACGAACAGAAATGTATTGCACAAGCAAGCTATAAAATGCACAGTTCTTTCAACAACAAAAAGAAACAACCATAGTTGCAATTCAGGGTCTTCTGGCAAGCATGGGACAGAGTACGAATGGCTTAACTGTAATTTGGCCTTCCTGGGTATCGATTAGCTTGAAGGATTACCAAGGTTGGCTAGATTAAAATTCTTCAAATAGGCAGAAGAAATGAAGTATCGATATTTACATTAATGACGATAGCTTTTTCGAAGTTATTTTAGGATGTATTGTAAGGGAGGTAGTACCTCCAACTTTAGAGGTTCAGCTTTAATTGTGCTCATTTGCAAAGTCCAAGATAAGGCCCCAAGTCCACCTCACTGTAACATTCGTTTTTATTTAGAGACATGGTATGGCTATTGCCAACCACACCCACATCCACACACCCAACAGGCATTAGGTGGGGGCACAAAAACTGCACCTAACCGTTTTATGGTGTTTTAACTAAGAAAAAGCACGCCTAGTTGGTGCATTAGTGTAGGAGATAATACTTTTCTTTATAAAATTCCACAAAAATCAGTTCTGACAGCCTTGTTAAGTTTCAAGAACTATCGAAACTTGAACAAATTTGCAGGTGGATTACGGACTTTCCCCTAATTTTTCTATTCCTAAACTTTATCCAAGAAAAAGATGGGAATAACACAACCAAAATATTCCAAAACTACAATGATCACTACCCATCCTAGCCATCTTAATTCAGAATTTGCTCTCTCTGAACAACACCACATTTATGTAATCAAAATCTTACCTACTGTAATTCATCCCTCTACATACTTCGGAATCTCTCCTCTATGTCATAGTTTACGAATTGTTTCAGTTGAGACAGTGACTAAGAAATTTAAAGCTTTGCACTTGGTACCACTCAGATAATGGCCAATCTTCCTAAGCCGAATGTCGCCGGGCTTAGTGGCAGTTGACCCCAAAACTTCAGTTCATTGTGATTCTAACTACTATTAAAACTTTTCTGTAAAAAACAAACTGAAGATGTTTAAGGTGGCTTTTGCATTTCCTGTTAAGTTTAAATGGGTGGCAATAACATGGTTAAGACAATACAGAGTTAAAATGGGGCACAGGTTTAAAAAATTTATGTCTAGCATCGTCAAACCTGTCTTATTAATATATTTAATCTGTAATTACATAACGTAAAGTAAGGTGAAATGTCATAAAAAATAAGAGAAGTGTGAAAGAGTAGTGTCACCAATCAGAATTATCCCAAGATTCACTTGAAAATTTGTAGAAGAATTTGACTTTGTCAAACCACATCTTACGGATCGAATAAATCATATTATGTAAATCTACAAATCTGAAGAAAATAAATTAGTTGCTATAAGATAAGTATTGGATGTGTATTTATGCCTGGAATGAAAGGTTCTAGTGAGGTAGTATAGAAACAATAGGATTAAGGGAAATTACTTAAAATAAATTCTTCAACCCAAGAAATTTTAGAGATATCATAAAACCCAATCTAGACACTATAGATAGTTTTAACACTGTCAATTACTCTTACATCTTCAATGAACAATCTTCATATTTCCCAAGAATACGATACAACAAACAAATCACACAAAGACATTCTTTGATAAAAAAAATATAAGATCAATGGGGAGAGAGAGAGACCCAGGCAGTGTTTCATTGTCACTTACAGGTAATATTATTAAGTTAATAGGTAAAATTAATCACTTCAACCAGTTTAGATGACAACCATTGTGACTCATTTGCCTGTAGTAAATAAGAACAGTAAAAGGTATAGTCTTCTCTCTTCTGCACATCCATTTGAAAGAACGTGTTGATTGTTGTTTATTCTCTAGTGGTGAGCATAAATTTTGTTGAATTTAGTGGATGGCCTTAGATGACATGATCTAAGGTGGCACAAGCTGGAATATTATTATTATTTCATTATCAATTTTTCATCCCACGTTAGGTTTTATGCTATTTCATTTTGAAGTTAGAAAAAATAATATCGTGAAGGAAAACAAATTTAGTGCAATAAGAATATATCACACACTGACCTCTCTTGATATCGGGTATTCTTCTGATTCAAGCATTCGGACAACTTGGCTCATCCTAGGTCTCTTGTCAGAATCTGGATCAACACATCGTAAAGCAGTCAAGAGGCCTTTCTTGAGGGCTCTAGTTGACGGCCTCGTGTCAATGTTTGCATCTACCACCTCCTCAGAGCGCCTACTTCCAACCATCATTTTCAACCAATCAACTAGATTTACCTGTGTCAAAAGTTCCAAATTAGAATAAAATTGAAGACTAGATGCATCGAAGAAACACATGTGCAGATATGAAGCACTTCAACCAAAGAGCTTCGAAAGGAAACGTTCAGGTCTACCATCATGTGAACAAATCAAGCAGACTAACTTACAAGCATAGCATAAAATCTGAAAGAAAAAACAAAACAGAACAAATTCACGGTTTAGGCTGCTCCCATTTCGCTCCCCGCTACTACAGGAATCGCTTTTGCTTTCTTTTCCTCTAGCTTTTCCTCAGTATCCATCTAATCTATAAGGATAGTAAGAGCCCCTTAATTGAAATAGAAAAATAATTACATATCCGATTTGACCTATGGACGAATATGCAAGCATACGTTTCATGCTTGTTTGAGAATAAGGCTTCTACAAATTTCTGGAGTAAAATTATGTCACAGCTTTATTTAATAACGGAAAGGAGGCACAAGTAAGTTAATGCAAGAGTGTAATTGTATTTACAGAAGAGCATGTGAATAAGCAAAAATCCTACCAGTTCTGGCAGTGAAAATTTTTGTGATACTGTAACATCTTCATCTATCTTTTAATATTGAGCGGTACCCCAAATCAAAGGGATTTAATTAGTCCTTGTTTGAGCCCCATTCTTCTCAAAATTCATTTTTTCAAAACCCATTTTCAACCACATATTCTTTAATATAATAATATTACACACAAACTCAAAACTTTTCCTTAATTTTTAACCACACATTCTCCATCAATCACTATTTAAAAATACATTTTTTCTGTTAAAATGGGGCTCAAACAAGGGCTTAAAGTTTACTTATTTTTTTCATAGCTGCCAAATCATATCCAATATAAGATGTAAACTTGATACTACGATTAAATAAAATAGCACCATAAAGGAGAGTCTATAATGGATGTTGGATGTCAAGATCCTAAAACAGGAATGTTATGCAACAGTAAAATATTTCCAATTTAACTTCATGTTCTTAAGTCGAAAGAGGTGAGAAAGGGCTGGAACCTTTTTCTTCTTTACTGGAATATTCAACGAAGTGATCGAGCCAAGAGACATGTTTATATAAAAAAGGTACTGAAATTTTACTGTGAACCCATATATTACTTCACATCTTCACAGCATGCTTGATGTAGAATTTTTGAGAATAGATTTTGTGAAAAGTAAATTTTTTTTAGTATGTGCGTTAAAAATTAGGGAAATTTATGGTCCACATGCGAATTTATTTTATCAAGAGAATGTGTGGTTGAAAATGGTTTGGGAAAAATGAATTTTAAAGAATGTGTACCAAAGAGGGGCTAAGAAACTAAATCATGATTATTTTCATAGAAGTCTTCATGCAGAAACTAGTGCTTCTTCATCTCAAATTCAACATCATCAAATTAATCTAATGACTAAAATCATCAATAATAAAAAGTGGGCAAGGAAGTGACCTATGGATTTCAAAAACATTGCATAATTAGTCCTGTTGTAATAAATTCAATATACATTTATCATCATAATAATTTTTAAGCGAAAATTGAAGCAGCAGTCCCTAACCTTGTCAATTTTTACAGACTTTCCCTAACCTTCAGTTTGTGCCAATGAACATCCCTAACATTTCAGAAATATGCAACTAAAGTCCAAACGGATGGCAACCGTCCATTTAACCATTAGTTGACCAAAAAAAGATTTTGACCGCAGTATTAATTATTTCTATAAGGATAAAATGGTTACTTTATATCTTTTCATATAAAAATAATTAAATAAAAAATATCATCATCTTCCATTCCAACCCCATTCCTTCCAAAGCCCACCCCCTACCCAAAACCAAAATCACTCTACCCCGTCGCAAATAGTCATTCGCCGCCATCGCCATCGCCACCGCCACCTCACATCAATGAATCTGCAGAAATCGAAAATTAAATAATTTCAGCGGCAAAACTACCAAACCACCACCATCACCAAGCCAGCAAGGAGACTAAATGCATTTCAAATCTAGATACAAGAGCCACCTCCAACTGCAGAGGCAAGCCAGATTTGGGGAAGCACCACCACCACTACCACTACACATCCACCTCCTCTTACAATCCTCAACCACCAAACATTTCTGCCACAAACTCAGAGGACATCCACCAAACTGATAGTACTGTTGGGCTAAATCTCCTTATCCCATACCGAATCCTTCAAATCTAGGATCAATTCCAACTTCAGCGGCAACAATTGCAAAATCAGCAAATGAATTACTCTCTTAGACATTTGCAGCATAAGCAGAACAAATTCTCAAGCTTTCATGGTCCAAAATCTGTTTCTTGGTTCAAGCATTCTCAACGGTCTTAGCTACTGTCACCGTCGGCTTAGACTAGTTGTTAGACCATGAATTAGTCGTCGCCTGAGGAGGGCTCATGTTGCTATAGTTTCTTGAAGCTATGGTGCTCAATTGCCGCAAAAAATTCGAAGGAAATTTGAAAAACAAAGAAGAAATGCCTTGCCATTTATATCGGAATGGCAGCCACAAATTAAACTTGAGAATGGTGGATGGTCAGAACTTGAGTTATTTTCACATGCAGATGGGGGTAGCTTGCCGTTGGAGGTGGTAATGTCTTCGATTTCGAGGCGAGGCAGTAGTAGCCTCGATTTTGATTTTGATTTCTCATCTGGGTTCTATTTGGTAATGAAGAAGAAGGTAGCAGAGGTGGTGGAGAATGTGGATTACGATGGTGGCGACGGCAGTGGACGGATTTAGGCAGCAATTGGTAGCCAGGGTTGGGTTTTGGGGTAGTGGTAGGGGTTTGGATGGGGATGGAGTAGTTGTGGAATATGATGGTTTTTATTTAATTATTTTTATATGAAAAGAGATAAAGTTACCATTTTACCCTTATAGAAATAATTAATAATGTGGTCAAAATCATTTTCTTGGCCAAATAATGAAAAAGTAGATGGATTCTATCTATTTGGACTTCAAATGCATATTTTTGAAAGGTTATGGACCTTCGTTGGTACAAATTAAAGGTTATGTAAAGTCTGCAAAAATTGAAAAGGTTAAGGACCGTTACTGCAATTTTCCTTATTTTTAATGATGAATATATAAGAGAAGATCCAACATAGCTGTAGATGCTGAATTATATTAGTGACATTTAATACCTCTTGAGCAGCACGACCATAGTCAACAGGATCTCTTCCCGTGATTGCCTCCAAGAGCACAACCCCGAAGCTATAAACATCACTCTTCTCGTTTAAAAAGCCGGTATTTGCATATTCAGGAGCCACATATCTGTATGTCATTTGAAGCAAAATGAGTGAAAATGAAATAGGGTGGAAAGTTGAATATTAAATGCAATTTGATCCTCTCATAAAGATCTTATAATGAAAAAAAAGATAGATACAGCAGTGAAAAAATGAATTTGGGTCATGATCAAAACCTTCAGCATTCAACAGCTAAAAAACAATAACCGTGGATGACTTCAGAAGCACTGTTAAGAACACAAGGGAAAGGAAGAAAAGCACTAACCCGAAAGTACCCATGACACGAGTTGTGATGTGACTTTTCCCAGCACCAAGCAGCTTAGCCAGACCAAAATCGGAGACCTTCGCATTGAAGTCTTCATCAATCAGTATATTGCTAGACTTTATGTCCCGATGAACTACTTTTGGTTCGATTGCCTCATGCAAGTAGGCAAGACTGCAAGAAGTGTATCATATGTATATTTAGATATATAATTTTGGGGAAAAATCGCAAAAGAAATTTAGAAATATAAAACAGCTGAGCAAACTTACGCCTTAGCCGTGCCAATGAGGACCTTCATTCTGGCCTCCCAAGTAAGAAATCCATGATGGCGCATAGCTCCATGAAGCCATTGTTCTAAATTGCCATTGTTGACATACTCGTAGACCAGCATCCTGAAATATTAAGAATAAGTTCAATAAGGATTGTATTGAATGTTACTGAGAAAGGTAACCGATTTCAATTGCAGTAAACATGCTAAATATATATATTAAGAGCCTAAAATAAAACTTTCACATTAGACCATGTGCATATAATAAAATCACGTCTCCTGCTACGGCAGGAACAAGTTATCAGAGAGCCATAAATGTGATGGCATTCAATAAACGCATTAAATTTGAAAGGCAAATTACAAGTACAAGAACAGTAACCTGATTTTGACAGACAGTACCTATGAGTTCCTTCAATACAATATCCCAGAAGTCGAACCAAATTTTTGTGACGCACGTGGCCAATAGCTTCAACCTCAACCCTAAATTCTTTTTCTGCTTGACCTCTAGTTGAAAAGAAAAATGTGATATGTATTAACTTCACAGAACTGACAAGAAAACCATCCCATAAAGATTTCCACCAAATATCAAAAAACAAAAAACAAATTCCAATACTCACAAGTTGTTGAGGAGCTTTTTGACAGCAACTGGCGTCCCATTAATTAACTGCCCATGGTAAACAACACCATACCCGCCCTCCCCAATAACATTCTCCTTTGAAAATTTGTTGGTTGCAAGCTCAAGATCTCTTAGTGTAAACCAATGGCCCCAGCCCAAGTGAGAAAACTCTGGCAGTCCAGTTAACGGTGAAGGAGCAGTTATTGGATGAGAAGAAGAAGGTTTATAAACTGCGGACGTTCCCGAACTCCCTTCTTCTCCTGATTGCACATCATAATGATCTTTATCGACGTGATGGAATGAACCAGATCGACTGCCGTTGTATCCATCCTTTACTTTCGGCATTTCCATATGGACCAAAACCTTGTCCGATTCCTTATCACTATATTTATCATGAACAGTGAGAAGAATCCCATCACGTGGAACAGATTCATTAGCTTGTTCTACCCGTACTTCTTTAATTTCTTTTGAAACAGTTGGTATTTGGCTAAGGGGGAGCTTGTCTAGAGATCTTCTCAATTTCTTTTGTGAAGTAAGAAAATATGTTAATGCAAATAGGATAGCCACAATCACCAACCCAACAATGATACCAATAACTTCCCAAACCTTTAGACCAAAAAAGCGAGTATTCTTTGAGAGTTCCTCATTCAGATCAGAACCCATCTTTCAGGATCTCGAAAACTCTGCAGTATTAGTAACACATTTGATCATTGGAAGTGATACTGTATTCTAAACCTATTTCACAATCCTGTCTTCATTAAGCAATAAACAAACTCTTAGGAAAAACTCATATTTGATAATCGTTGTTTTCTTATAATTATTAATAACTGCAAAGGAGAGTTATACTACGGAGACAAATCTAAAGTCTGACAATAATTCAACCAAATAATCTCTACATGAGTACTGATGAACTGGAAAGACCAAATGAACAAAAAGTATAGTCCAGGACATCAATATTGATGAACTTGAGCATTCTGGAAAGTCAAAATAATTGCAGAAAAAACAAGAAAAAAATCATGCAGGAGGTCAATAGCGTGGAAAGCAACAGTATAACCAAGAAAAGAACATTCCGAGCTCATCAATGATTAGATAATTATGCAATTCAAAATTAGATCCATTAATTTTTCTTCTGGCACATCATTTTAGCACAAAAAATTAATTGAATGCATTCTGTATTAAAAAAATAAAAAAAATTGAAAAAATAAAAATGCAAGTGTGCTTAAAGTTGTTACCTTCTGCAGAAAAGAATTCAGAACAGCAGCTAAATTCCAGATCTTGAAAGTCCCATCTACATATAATTTTCATCAGAGACCTCGAGAAAAGATCTCTGAACTAGATACCCAAGCAGTCCGTATTAAAATCCCCACATTCTAGAAATCCCAAGAATCAAAACTTTTCCCGTCCCTCAAAATCACCCCTCAATTGGGTAGCCCGATTGAAATTCCTTTCTGGGATTTCACTGCATTACCAAATGCCAGTGGTTTCCACACCAGGACTCATTAAAGAGTATTAAAATAGATGACAACAATGACAGGGCTTTCTTTGTGGTACAGGTACATAGAATGCTGTACGGGGATAATAGTTAATTATAGATATATAGCTTTGATAATTAGCGTATTCAGTGGTTTCTGGTAAGGAATATAAATATATGAACATATATACATATAGAGAGAAGGGTGGAGTTATCAGTGGTAGGTAATGAGAAAACGCCTAACCATCAACACAGCAACGAAAGGAAGACATTGAGAAAGATGGAAGGTACCCTTCTACAGTTGGCACTTCAGGTTTTATTTTTTTATTTTTATTTTTTCCTCTGATGATGACTGATTCTAGAACATTTTACCATATTAACTCAAGCAAATGCATATATAAAGACTGTAATCTTTCCTGGGTTTTTTCAGGTATTAATTTATTGAATTATTAATTATATGTATATTTATTAGCTGTTTGGCCTCCATTATTTAATATTATAATTTTTGGAATAGTGTTTTTTTGGAAGAATGTATGATTAAAAAATAAGGAAAAAATTTTAAATTATATATAAAATTATTTTATTGAAAAATATGTGATTAAGTCCGGTTCCCATTATTTTCTCATTAAAATGAAAAATATAACCGTTATCCATCAAATCAAGCCACCAAATTTGAATTTCTATCTCTTATATGGGGTTCGTAACGACTATATTTTTCATTCTCATTTTTCAAAAAATAAGAAGCAAACGGGAACTAAAAAGAGAGAAAGAAATGTATTATAAATTAATTAATGGGATTCAAACGGGATTTAAAGTCTAATCAAAAGTGGGCCGTAAAGGGTCTCCTTATCAATAGTGTCTCCTTTTTTTCTTTTTTTTTAATATCCAGGTATCCCAATTTATACCAGATTAAATTCTGGACCTCCAAGACCCTTGCCCCTAAAACTTTGGAGGGGGTAAATCGCGGGTTATGCCTCAACTGGATCACAGGTTCCCCCATTGCCTGTACACTTCTGCGCACAAGAGACCCTCCTCCACAGTGATTGCTCCATACCAAATTTTTTGGTCGCAGGTTCCTACCAGGAATCGAACTCTCCACCTTATCGCTGGAAGTAAGACAATGTTGATTGATCCACCAGTTGAGCTGTGCCCCGAGGGGCTAGTGTCTCTTTTTTTTTTTTTTCTCTCTTACTCTTGTATGTGGATATACAAAAACAGATTATGGCAATCGATAAATTGTTCGATTATGTTATACATTCAGTCTCAAATTCAAGTGGGATAAGTGTCTACGCATGATTGGACAGTTTAAAAAATTAAAAAAAATATATCTCATCATTTTCTAATACATCAATCTTTCTTTTCAATCCCTATTTTTAAGGCTAGTTAAGTGGCTTTATTCTAAATTGTTTATTGGTCCATGCGATTTCAAATTATTCGTTCGTGATGCAATTTTAGATTATACTTCAGTTGAGTGATTAAAGATTGATTAAATTTACTTGCTGTGTATTCTATTATACTTAGTTGAATATTTAATTTTAAATTGAAGTAAAAGTTCTTGTTTAACATTTCCCTTACAAAAAAATTCAAGATTCCGAGGGGATGCATTTGTCTTAAATTTATTAAAATTGGGTCCATAAATGTTGGGCTTAGAAAATACTAATTTGCCGACCAATTTATTTGTGTTGATTTAAAATTTAACTCATCAATCGACAATCGCCAACCACCCAAAATAATAATAATAATAATAAATAAATAAATAAAAATTATTGGGTAAGACCATAACAGTTAGAGGGTACAAAATTTATTATGTAAGTTTTTTGGTTGAGTTTGAGTCTCAAATCAACTAGTTTAACGTATTTAATGTTAATATTCGATGGAAGATAAAGTTAATGGAATTTATATCGTGTACTAGTTGTTACAAAATGAATGATTGATTAACTGTTTACCTGTAGTAATTCAAGATCGTAACAAGTAATGTCGTTTTTTATAGAAAAAATTGACTCTTTTCCGGAATTGCAACTACCCATTTCAAAAAATTCGATTCTAAATAAATACTCAATACCCAAGTTGGCTTACAAAATTGATCATTATATGATCCAGTGCTTTCTGAGTCGTCTAAAACCTTACGATTGGTATTTATCTCCCAAAGTCGATGACAATTTTGAGATAAATTTGTGTATGTATATATTATGCATTTTACCGGTTTAAAATTAACTAATGGATACAATAAAACTCATAAATTTCTTCAAAAAATATTATACACTGAGATATAACTACATAATATAATACAATTAATACCTCCTAATACATATTATATGATACCAAATATAATATTTTAGTTTAATATTGCGTGTTAGTAAGCAAGAAGTAACCCATCGACAAACACGTTGAGCAATCCTCCTCAAGCAACAAAAAGGTTGCTTGGTCTCTTTAAACAATTATATATCATTAGGACCAAAACACTATAAGCAAGATTGTCTTCAAATTATAAATAATCGATTTAAGTATGGAGGGCCCGTGTCAAAAGTTATTATTAAGATTGAGAAATTTGCTTTTAAATTTATTTAAATAATTTTTTAGAACTATTTTGTCTAATTAAAAGAGTTTTTAAAGAAAATTGATTTAAGAACCCTTTGACAAGGCTTTTGAAATGTTAAAAATTATTTTGAATTTGTTCGAATTATTTTCTAAAATTTTATGTAAGCAGTATTTAGACAAAATCAAAGACATTCACTATAAAAACATTAAATAATATTTCATATAATTAGGTCCAATGTTGTAATTGACAATTCTGTGAACAAAAAGAACTTATTTGATCATGTGTAAAAGGACAAAGACTTGGGTTGCAATTAGTATAGATGAGTTAGGGTTCAAAATTGAGTGTGGAACAAGGTTGAAGATGTGCCGGATTTTCGCTTGTCTCTCGATGATTATCGCTTGAGCGTTCAAAACAGAGAGCTCGTCCCTCGTTCTTCGCCCTCTTGTCACTCGCTTTTCATTAGGATGTCGCTCGAGCGACAATCTTATGCGACCGAACCCTAGGTGAATTTTTACGACCCAGGACACATATTTACCCCTAAGTATAAATACCGAAGTATGTGACGTGAGAAACTGAGTTGCTATATTATTCTTTCATAGCATAACATCTGCACATCTTTGTTCAAGAGATTCAAGGCAAAAATCATTGGTGATTCACATCCATAAAATCTTGTTGATGCAAATCTAATTAGCACGGTTGCTATCAAACCCACAGGATATTGACACCGGATCCCAAGAAAGCCAAGAACAAGATTTTGGACTCAACCCACAATATTGGAACCAAGCAACCCAATAAGAACGGCGCTGTGAATGACATCTTGATTACACAACACGATAAATTTCCCCAAAAATGTGGATCTAACTCTATAATTACGAACCAAATAACCAACCTAGTCACATGAACATGCCAATCTTTTGATTATAAATAATTAATTGAAATCACACCCGTTGTTTTGAACGCCACACGAACAATTAATTCTTGATAAGTTCGATATTCAAGAAAAACAGACTAATTTAAAACAAAAGCTTCTTGAGAGAATTGTCCATTAATTCATCATAAAAAATCTTCTTTTCAATAATGAGAAAATAACATATTTATACTAAATAACTTAGAATAATATTAAAAGGAAATAAATTCTAGAAAACCTAGAAATCTAGTAAAATCGAAAAATAGAGTCCTAAAATATATAAATTGCCAAAAATAAGAAATTGAACTAAAATAAAACTTCTCTAGATCACATCACTTGTGATTCGACAACTAGATTTTGGAAAAACATCAATCTTCATAGCCCAAAACATCGTGCTTCCGTAATGTGTTGAGACATTCAGCACAAGACTAGGATGTTGTAGGAGACATTAAATTGGGTATATAGGGTTGTTAATGGATCGGATATGGATTAGATTTGCTCAAATCCGATCCAATCTGTTAAGAATAATTTTTCGATCCGATCCGATAATCCGATGGATATTTGAATGTTAAAATCCAAATCTGATTAACTATGTTATCAGATATCCGATCCGAAATTGAAAAAAAATTAGAAAAATAAAAATTTTATTTTTTTTCCATTAAAAATCATAGTCTCAACAGGATTTTAATTATTTATTTATTTTAAAAATTATTTGAACTATCTTGATTAGCTCACTTATTATATTAAAAGGCCTAAATCAATTTTTTATCCAAGTGATGCTCATTTTAACTCCTTTTTAAAAGACTCTTCTTTAAATGTTTTAGTGATATTGCAATGTGAGTATTCATTTTTTAAAGGATTCTTCTCTTCCAATGATTTAGTGATATTTCAATGTAGGATACTAATCACGATCATTTGTCAATTCTAAGTGTTTACTGATTTACTTTATTATTTTCATTAAAAATCATAGCCTATTAATTGTTAGTTTTTTATGTTATAAAACAAATTGCTATAGTAAACTAATCAATAAATTAATTATTAGTTTTATCTTATTTAATTAATAAAAAATTAAAACTCTTTAAAATTTTCAATAAAAAAATATTATACTATTTATTATTTAAAAATTATGTGTAAAGTATAATACAATTTTCAAAATGGAAAAAAAAAATAGTGTCATAAACTATGCGATAATATAAAAAATATAATATATTATTATAATAAATCGGATCGGGTTGTTATTGGATCGAATTGACTTGTACACATATTTGATTTATTTAGTTAACGGATTATCGGATTCGGATCTCAATCGGATTATCGGATTGAGACCCTATATCCATCTCCCATTAATATCATTGAATTCGGATCAAAATTCAATCCATTAACAGTCCTAACTGCATGAAGTAGATCAAGAGGTCTAGCAGGTGACTAGAGGAATCTACGACGGTAGGAGGCTAATGGAGGTAGATCAAGAGGTCCAGTAGGCAAGAGGTTTCTACAGCAATAGATCGTGAGACTTTGGTCCCGAAGTTTTTTCCCACGTTGGGTTTCTTCGTCATCAAATACTGTGTTATTTACTGTTTTCCAATTTATACAAACTGTGGCATTTAAACATAGAATTAAATCGGATTGTATGTTCAACCATCTAGAACCTAATTAAAGTGACTTTTTGCTTTGGTTAGTACAATTCCACACGTAAGGTCGAAGTAATAAATTGACTATAATGTAAACTTGGTAACACTATAATTTGAATTGGTGATCACAGTATCCTGCGAACTTTCAAGCGATATTATAGCGTCCTAGGCAAGACTTTTCACATATGATATGTAATAATTTTGTACTGAATTTATGTAAACAGTATAATACAATAATATAATAAGCAATTACATTTTACAGTCTCTTTTAATATTGCCTAATATCTTACAATTGATAATACAATAAACAATTACATTTTACCGGCTCTTTTAGCCCCTGTTTGGTAGGATTAAAATCAAATTTTTAATAAATTTTGATAAAATTTTATGAATTATATGGTTAAAAAACTGTAAGATATATAAAATATATGACTAAAATTAATTATTGATTTTAACTAAAATTAAAATCTAAATTTTAATCCGTGCTCCCATTTTTTTTTTAAATTTTAATATTTTGAATCGTATTTTTTTGAAGAATGTATAGTTTAAAAAAATAAAAAAATTTCGATTTATGTGTAATATTATTTTTTTGAAAAATTATATAATTAAAAATAAAAATAAAAAATGAAAGAGAATGACGGTCAAACGAGGGAAGGGGTTGGTTTAAAAATGGCTTAAAATTGCCGTGTCCAAATAAGCACACGGCATTGACTAACCGTATTTGGTGAATGAAAATGGACGTCAATGTCACAATAATAATTCAGCCATGTGTAATGTACTCTTACGACTACCTATATACAGCGATTAGATAATGATTGAAGTAGACAGTACGGCTTTCTCCAATAATTTCATTTCAAACAACATTTAGCCCCATTTGTTTTTCATCATTTTCCCGTTAAAATAAAAATTATAACCATTATTTATCACATTAAATCATCAAATTTGAATTTTTATATCTTATATAAAGTGTTTAACGACTATATTTTTTATTCTTATTTTTATAAAAATAAAAAACAATCGCCCCTTTTTAGTTTTAGTTATCCTTGGCTCCAATTATAAGGTCATTCGTATTGATCCAAGTTTTAAAATCTAAGAACGCCCAATTCAACAAACTTTGGCTAATTTCACTTTATAAATTAAACTAGCAATCACTGAGCTCTGCTCAAGAATTATAAGCAAATTGGTTCTTTACATAAGAATGTAGAGTGGTGAAAAAATGATTTTGGGCAAAAACAATCAAACAAGAAGAAAAATCGATTATAAATATGATTCGAGATAACAGATCTCATTCAACATTACGTTCCACTTCAGAGTTCTGCTACAATTTTGCACAGGTATGCACAAAATTACGATATTTTAAATTGCAGTAAGGCACCAAGAGAGGTCATAAAAGGCAAAAGAAATACTTTATGTTATTATCGATGAAACCAGATTACAATGAAGGAAATGATTCTTCTCAGAACGAGCATCACAAAAGTTGCAAACATTTATCTACATAATTTAAACAGCGATCGAAGTTCAGAAACTAGCACAGCACAAAGCAGAAAACATTACAGTCGAATAGGTATGTCCTTCCATATGCATAATCAGAAGAAATTCACCCTTGATTGTTCCATCCTCTAATTCCATATCTTTTATAAACCGCTGGTTACATTTTTGTCAGAAGATCACGAGAAACATGTAGCGTTTAGGTCTCTAGTCCCGTCATATTGTAATTAACTTTGCAAATGAGAAAGATCGGACCTTGATATGAAACCTCTGTTTAAAGCTGGCTGTCGTGAACATCTCTTTTTTCTCCAATCAGGTTTTGATTGCTGTCTTTCTGTGATTAGTTGTTGTGATCTTTCTCAGTTCCTGCAACATCTTGACGAAAGTGACAAATTTATCGCATAAAAGCTCGATTCCTTCAGGCTTGACCATATTCTACATCCACCTTATTGCCCAACACTACGGCTCTCTGTCACTAAACACGTTTTTCTTGCTGACATATACTGTGAACCTCCTGGTTTTCGTCATAATAACTGACAAGCTTGAATATTCATATCATGATCTAGGAAAACTACTATTATATTCCCAAATTAGTTTTCCAAAAAGTTTAATCCATCAATATGCTCTATAGAAGCTCCACATAACAAATTTAGCAGAGCAACTACGATACTACAAAATGCTTCTCTTTAATAATTTCAATCAGCGAGCAGCCACGAAAAGCAATTTCCAGGGAATTTCAATTATCAGTTATATAGCCGGCTTATCAGATAATATATATGCACATCTTCCTGTAAAGGTGATCTATGTATGCCATAACAGGCAATTTACAACTCTACAGATTCAGCAGTTTTTCTAACCCAATCAATCTCTTGCCCAGCCGTATTTCATGGATTTCCGAGAAAAAGAGAAGTACAAAAACAAAATTACTACTACTTAATATTATCCCAAGCTAAATACTCCACCATCCTCAATGTCAACAGAGCTATTTACTCTGCTGGCAATTATTCGAAGGGAAGGACAGGCCATGCCAAGTATAACCAGTGCTCATCTTTAAGCCAATTTGAATGGCAGCAAATTGACAACTATCTACAGGCCCCTCTACCCTCCCATACCTACTTCTTTGGGAGCTTATTTAGCAGTTGCCAACCCTGAATTAGGGCTGGACTCTGTGAGATTAACCTTAATTGGTTGCCATCCTGACTGATGATTATATATAATCCACTTTTTCATGTTTATTACCATGTGCAAAATCTGAAGAATTTCACCCAAAGCATGCTCTTTTAAGCACATCTTTTTCATTACTGTAGCAGCCTCGTACCTAAAGAGCAGATGAGGATTGAAGAACATGAGATTGATTAACTATCAAAAAATTTAGCCATAGAGTAAAAATAGAGTACAGACTATCAAAATAACTTACAAGCACAATGTAACTTGATGCAAACTGCAAGATTAATTTACCTGCACTGAGTACTCAGTATTGCAGATCGTCCAGCAGCAGATGACAGAAATTTCTGAATTTCGTCCCATATCACCTTTGGGTACTGCTTTGCGTTACCAGCCATTGGGTTCACACATTGCCATAGTTTCTCATTCTTTCCAATATACAACTGCAAAGATCCCAACTTCTGCTGTACTACCATCTGCTGCTCAACGGCACTCGTTAAAGCCCTCTTAACATCAATATTACGATGTTGAGGATCTCCATATCTAATGCAATCAGCAATGTTTTCCTCTGTCGGTACAATCTTCTCAAACTTAAGGGTGTTCAGAGCAAGCAGAATGACCCCAATAAGTCCTTGAATATAGTCAGAAGGTTTTGGGCATCCTGTTGCCCCCCATGGACCATTACCAGATATATTAGTGGTTCCCATTCCAAAAGATGGTGGCGGAATTTCTTGACTGCCACGTGGGTACCCGTTGGTCTGCAGCTCTTGATAAAACGGAGGGTTCCTTTGTGCATTATATCCTTTGTGGGGACTGTTCGAATTTACGCGGTTGGCAGACTCAATAGAAGTTGGTCTTCTCTCTCCTCCATTCCATGGTTGCGAAGGAGGAGCATTGGGATCATTTCTGGGGTATTCAGAAATGTTTAATTTACCAATATCGGGCGCATATGTTTGAGGACCTGAGGTAAAGCTGGGTGCGTCAGCTCTATAGGGCACTAAATGAGGCGGGAAGTGCTGATTAGTTGATGGGAAACTAACTGGCGGATGAGGATAGTGGTTTTGATAAGAACCAGGTGGGTGACTGCTGTTACTCCAAGAAAAATCAGGATTACCAGATGCGAAATTAGGAGTGGTTCCTGGTCCACTTTCAGGAACTTTTGGATTATAAGTACCAGAAAAATCCTGGGAATCATTGAACTGCATTGGATGCCTATACGTTGGTTTGTGGAAGTTGGCCTTGTTATGATCTTCTTCAATTCCTATTGCACTTGAAGTTCTTGATATATTAGGTTGACCCATGTTTTTACGAACCTGCTTTCCTTTATATTTTACTTCATTCCCTCTTCCCATATTCGAGAACTTTTGATTTCCCATTTGCGGACTACCATGAAAAGAATCATCGAGCTGGTTTGCACGAGCAGAATTAATAACTGGAACTTGTAATGAGTCGGAGCCAGATAAATGACCGTAACCATTATTTAGAGTCGTTGAGGAATCAACATTTGTAAGTGGTGGCCCTCCAGCCGATAGACTTGTCCAGAGCCATACACTCTTTGCAGCAGCAAGAAGCGGTGCGGATGCTTTTTGAGGTTGTGCAAGAAGAATGTTATATCGACGCATGCGTAACTGGTGAAGAGCATTTGAGAAATCTCGGTCTCCAGAAATTAACAAATAATTAGCAGGTGCAGGATTGTCAACTGCCCAAAATAACATATCCACCAAAATCTTCTTGTCACTAGCATCTTTTACACCTAACCATGAGAAATCAATAATCTAATTAAAACAAATTTATGAACACGTGAAGAAATTCATAACAAAAATAACAGTGAAAAGATCTACTGCAGTTATTATTTTGAGATGAAACTACTAACGTATCACCCGTGATCGGTCTTCAATGAAAGTATTCAATCATACATAAAAAAATTTGGAGGCATATCACAAGACATGGGATTGCACCAAGACACGAAGCTACAACTATAGATCTATTAGCCATGCACCCTCAGAAGGGAATGGAGAAAGAGAGAGTAGAAGACTATTTCACGACATAAGATCAACTCATTAACACTTGTCTTGGGAGCGATTATTCTTGCAACACCATCATAACTACACTAGCACCGAAAAAATCAACAGATCTATATGCTTAAAGAAAAAAGTCAAATTTAAATAGGCAGCCCACATAAGCAAAAAATGGCTGCCCGATTTCACACTTTTCACTAACTCCGTCTCCTATCTGACACACAAAAACCACAATAACCCGCAGATAGTAACAGAAATTCAAGACAACAAAATTAACAAACCAAACTAAAAATTTCTGAGACTAAGAATCAACTAAGTACCACTCAAAACACTAAAATAAAAATCCCCGATATCACCCATTCCACCTCAAATCGCTCAAATTCCACTGGATCTCAACTCCTCTCCACAAATTTATCAAAAAAATCACAAACATTAAGACATAAAAACATCGATGTATACATAAATTAAACGAATACAAAGATATGTATTTATAGATTGGTACCTGCAGGGACGTGATTGAGGGCGATGCCGGTACTATTAAGGGCCTGCTGAACGGCGGGGGATATCCTGGTGGTATCACCATACGCTGATATTGAAAGAGACCCGCAGTAGTTTATCTTAACAAGAGCTGAGCTTATATTCTGCGCAATCGCGTGTGGATCGCAATTCTTCGGCACCTGACAGTTCTCGATGTCCCACCACACCGAAACCTTGGCCTTCACATACTGCTCCTCCGCCGCATCCGTCTGCTGCGACTGCACTCCGCCTCCGCCCATATTCTTTGGTTAGCTTAAACTAAAACCGAGCAATTTTGTGTGATTGGATTGATCTATTTACAGTGTAGTAGGAGTATTGATTGGGCTAGACTTTTACTTGACGAAGAAAGGCGCACGATAGCATTTGATAACGCGGTTTTCAACGGTGCGTACGATTGGACAGACTTAGGAATGAGTGTTGGGGTGGTTTGGATTTGGTGGTACGTGTTTGGCTGAGCTTAAATCCACTAAGCCCGCTGTTTGACACTCATTATTTCAGCTCTTTTTCTATCTACTTAACCCCGTTTGAATCCTATTATTTCTCATTACATTAAATTAAATTTTTCTTTCTCATATTTTTAACTACACAATCTTCAATAAAATAATATTACACGAAAATCAAAAATTTTTCAACCACTCATTTTAAAAAAAAAATAATATTGATCTCATTATAATCTACGAATAATGAGGCTCAAACAGCTCCTTATTTTCAGCAACACTTTCACATAATAAAATATTTTTTACGTAAATTTTTCCTATTTTTTAACAACAATTCTCCAATATGTACATCAATATATAAATAATAATGTAAGTGTAGTACAATCGAACTTGACCACTTACATGATCATGAAATGGGTCTTTTTAATTGTTTATTGTTAGTTTTTTCTTTTAGCTGATTCTGGTTGGTTTTAATATTTTTTGTTGCCGCAGAATGAATCCATCAATTGAGGAAGAAATAGATTCATGAGTGCCTTGATTTGTTGAGTTTTTTTTTTTGCAATAGATGATTACCCGCAGCGACACCCACAAATTTTGTGAAATTGAGCCAATTTTGATCGGGTTTTCCTCTCCGGCGACAGCGTCGAAGCCAATCTTTCGCATAACATGGCAATTCGAGCTAGCCTAGACGAATCTTGTTCGGGTATCAAAATTGACAGTGTAATTTTGGTTTATCCATTCTTTGGTAACGATGAACCTGACAAAATTTGGAGCTTCTTTTGCCCGAAAACGACAGGGTTGACTGAGTTCTTTCCGATGATTATCTTTGTCTGAAGATCTTTCATTTTTTTTTATTTTTTTTTGTGCTACTTGTTATTTGTTCTACGTATTTTCCGTATTTTCAATTTGGCCGACCGCTTTAGAAGTTCTGATTTTGAGTTCGGGCACTTCTTAGCTTTTGGAGTGGTTCGAATTTAGTTTCTTTTGGGTTTCTTCCAATTTTGCGTTGGGTTCTACTTAGATTGAGCTTCCCAGATCAGTCTTTGGTCAGGGTTTTGGCAATTGTTGGTCCGGCCAGCTTCATTTCAGATTTTGGTTTTGGGTGGTCTTGATGGTGCTTCTTGCCTGTGATTGGTCTCTGTGTTGGCTTCAGTTCTCTTTGTGGTGGCACGGCTTGGGTGTTGTTGTGACTGCTTGTTATCTTCTTTGTTTGAAGCTCAGGTGGTCATCTTCATATTTGCAGGCGCCACGCTGTAAGTATTTTGTATGTGTTTGTGGTGAATTTATTCAAATTTAATTTTGAATCATAAGCTGCCATTTTGCAATTCACGTGCTGATTAGTGAGGTGTGGTGGGAAGAAGGGGAAGGGCGGCAGTGGGGGGTGGGGTGAGAAATATTAAAGCTTTTGGGCTGTCCATGGGCTTCAGCAAAATGGACCCAATTTATATTCTCCTAATTTTTTACCAGGCTATCAGTCTATTTTCCTTTAACGCCACGTGAAATTCAATTCAACCATATTTGATTGATGGGAAAAATTCACAAATCAGGCATTAAGTATAAAACAATTCAATTTTCAGGTTTTAAATTCCAAAATTCAAAAGTCAAGAATTAATTTATTAATTAAATATTAATGTCGTAGTTATATAATTAATGATTACATTTGACTATTTATATGTTACAACTTATTTATTGATCAAATATTATCAAATGAATTTATCACAGATTATTTCATGATTACAATACAAAATTTTGATAGGTAACAATTTATTTTATCAATCACAAATTAAAAAAATTATAGGTTACAATTTATTTGTCAGTCACATATTTTCAAATCAGTCGGTCACATATTAACAAATTAATTAGTCACATATTGTTTTATTGTCACAGTAAAAATTTTTGATAAGTGATAAGTGTGTTTTTTGCACACTTGTTTAATACTTAAATAAATTTAAACATTGATTAAATGAGCGAATTTCTATTTATAATTATATAATTATTACTTTTGGAGGTAAAAATCACCCAAGATAAGATAACAATGCAAAATGAAGTAAAAGAGACCAAAAGCGTACAAAATTGTGAAGTTGGGGGATCAAAGTGCACAAGTTCCAAAAGTTGAGGATCTTGGATTGCAAATTATGGAGGGTAAAATTGATATAAAAGTCAAAATTCAAAGACCAAGTTGTATAAGTTAAAAGTTGAGGGACCTCGCAAGCAATTACCCCGAAGGACTGAGCTGCAAAAAGAGGAAAAAAAAAAAAAAAAAAGGAAAGTGGCAACGTGGTGCCAATATAGCAAAGCCGCGGCGCCACACTGCTGACTCTGTTATAAAGCCGTGGCACTGCAACGCCATGGCCACTGAGATAGGATCTATTTTTGGTTTTTAAAAAATTGAAGGACCATTTTGCAATTTATTGACACGAATTTTGGCCCCTTTTAAATGAAGATTCAACCCTTACATTGGGGATCCTCATCTTTAAAAACAAAAACCTAGCATTCTTCTCTTTCTTTTTCACTTTCCTTTTCATTTTTCTTTCTTTTCTTTTCCTTGGTATTTTTGAAAGCAAATCATAAAGTACAAAGGAGAATCATTAAAGAAAGTGGAGAAATATTTGGAAAAATCAAAATTAAGCTTAAAAAAGGGTTGTATCTATAATTTTGCATTTTCTTAATTATTTTGCTGTGTTTGCAATGTATTGTGTAAAATATTCTCCATTTTATCATTTATATGATATGGACTAATTTATTATGTTGGGATTTATGGTAATAGTTTAACTTAGTTTTTAATTAATTTTGATATTTGCTATTTAATATTAAGTTATTTGTTTAACGTGTTTTTACTATTGTTATTATTGCATTTTCATTTATGTGGCCAATGAATGATTATGTTTGGTGATTTGCATATCATTTGAGAGAAGATTGTGCATTTTAGACCAAATAGTAAAAATTCTAGGTTTGTGTAGAGGATAGAAATATACCCCATATCACTAGGTGAGCTATTGCGTTAATTTTACAAAAATTTAATGAGGTTGTTTGGTTTTAATCGACATAGAGATATAATATGTTAAACCAAATAATTAGGGTTAATTTAACCAGAAAGAGGTAATTAACTAAAATTGGAAGATCGAGTCTAACATCGTAAATGAGTAATTTGTTAATTGACTTGTGGAGAAATTAATTAGACGACGATTACATGAAACCATGAATCCGAACCATGTTGTCTTCTGAAATTCTCAAGAATTTTATATTTTCTTATTTGATAGATTTTTAGTTCTTTTCCAAAACTATAATTTTATTGTGTGTTTATTTTTATTGTAAGAATTAAATTAATTAAGTTTTTTTTATTAAATTAATTAAGGTTGTGTAATCAAATGTATACATTCCTCGAGAGATCGACAACCCGACTCAAAAGATTCACTTTATTACTTGAACGCGACCCGTGCACTCGCGACATGTGCTTTTAGATAACAACAATAAGTCACAATTTATTTTATCGATCACAAATAAAAAAATGTATAGGTCACAGTTTATTTGTTAGCTACAAATTTTCAAATTAGTCGGTCACAAATTACTTTTCATTTCCAAATTATTGAATTTTTAGGGCGAAATTAATTAGTTGGTCACAAATAACCAAATAGTTGGTCATAGATTAACGAAATAATTGGCCACAACCCACCACCTCCGATCATTCCACTTCCGGCGATGAACTAGCTGTAGCAGAGTGAATTGAGCACTACACACAGATTTAAGCGCAAGTTTTGGACCAAAATATTGTTCAAATCTAAGATCATGGGCCTAGTTTCAGCTTTAGATCACAAATGGGATCCAAGAGGTCACTGCCTCGCACAGCTTCAGAGTTGCACCTTTGGGAGCATAGGCGCAACGCTACAGCTGTGTGAGGTGGTGCTACGCCTATAATGCTGTAATGTGATGGTGGTGTTGGGGTAAGGGGTGGAGGGTTGTGGCAAAATGGGTTTGAGGAGGATGAGGGAAAAGTGGCGGTGATGGAGAAATGGGTTTACGGTATATAACGGTGATGAGGGAAATTATTTAGAGTTTGTAGTGGGGTTAGGGTGGGAAATTTTATAATAATATTAATAATTTAATTAATACCTAATTTTTGGTTAAATGAACCTCACACCTAATTTTTGAATTGGAAAACTTAAATACCTATTTATATGTAATTTCCTCGTTGATTTCATTTTGAAAGTATCCACAAATAGGTTCAAATCCTGTCATTTAGCCTAACTGAAGGCTTGGATTGCTCGAACCATCATTCAAACGTCATAGCCTCTCCAATCGTGCACCAAAACTTGACGTAAATTTTGCACTATTTTAAACTAAATCTTGTACCAAATTAAAAATTATCTTCAACTATTACACCAAAACTTACACTAAATGAATAGTGTTTATTCACTTTCTTTTCTTTTTTATTCTTAATAATTTATTTATTTGAAACATGATTTCTTTATTTATTTTACAAATATATAAATTATTAAATAAATAGTTACGTTATATCAACCAAAATATTAAATTCTTAATAAATATAAAAAGTATAGTACAATTAATAGAAACACTACAAAAAAGAAAATATTAAATTCATTAATCATGTTTGTTGTTTTTTAATTATTTTATTCTTAGTTTAATTAATACATTAATTATTTTTTAATACGATAAATTATTATTATTTTAAATGCAAATAATAATAATAATAATAATAATAATAATAATAATAATAATAATAATAATAATAATAATAATAATAATTATTAAAAAATATATACACAAATGACACAAATATCTTGCATCAATTAGTTTGACAAATGAAAAAAAAAAAGATAAATTTGATTTTGAACCAAATTTTGGTGCCACACTGAAGAGCTTTTATATCAAAATTTGGTGCATTTTCGATGTTTTGGTGTCTCCAAAGGAATCAGATTTTGCCATTACATTGGAAGAATAGTTTTGACTTTATTTGTCTATCATTCTTCCACATTATTTTTTTTACAGTACTCATTTTCAATTAAACATTCTTCATTAAAATAATACTACACGTAAATATTTTTTTTCCTTTTTAACCACACATTTCAACATCAATCACTATCCATAATACATTATTCACAAATAATGGGACACAAACAAACACTTTATTCTCGTGCTATTCACTCGCATTTAACCCTGCGAATCTCAGCCCTCTACTCATTCTATCACCATTTTTTGCCGTCAAATGATTTGACAAATATAGCCCCCATTTGGTCCCATTATTTCAAATTTTAATAAGTGGAATAGTATTTTTTTAAAGAATAGATGATTGGAAAAGAAGAAAAAGTTTTCAATTTACGTTTAATATTATTTCATGAAAGATTGTGTGGTTGAAAATAAGAGAGAGAAAAATAAAAATTAATTTAAGGGGGGCCAAACGGAGCCATAAATCATGTACAAATTTCTAGGTTACTGCTTCATGCCTTTTCACTTCGTTTCTCTCCCAGTATCTCTCTCGTGTTCATATTCTTTCTATAATCACGCTAGTTTTTCTTGATTTGAACCATTTTTTGGATCCAATTGCTTTTAAAGCTTGATGTATTTCGTGTTTTTATATTGAGAATCCTGGGGTTGGATTCAGCAAAAAGGATGATGTATCTCTCTCCATATTCTATATATATATACACAACTATATATGTGTAAATGCATCTATGTCCAAAGATGAGTGCATATATGCAGGGGTGGAAGCACATGGGGTCAAATGACTTTACAAATTTTTAATTGTTTTTAATACCTAACAACTACCCTCTCTAATTGCCAAACCTAATTTTTCAATAGTAGCCCACACTTGTGAAAAAGCCTAAAGTGGAAATTACACAAAACCCTATGTTTTAAAATGTGAGTTCTAAAATCACATGGCAAGTTTCACATTTCACAAATCAGATATTTTATTTTTAAATATTAAATATATAATTTTCATTCCAAACCCTAACAATTTCCCCCTCCTTTCTTTCACTACATCTCAATCTCACACCGCTTCTCTTCATCGGAGCCACCAACACTGCCCATCGTTGTAGCCAAGCACCATCGGTCGTTGCAGCAGGGCACTGTGTTGCCGAGACCGTCGTCGGCCATTGTAGCAGAGCGATATGTTGTCGAGTTTTGGGGATTTTTTGATGGTAGAGATGGCAGCGGTGACACTAAGCTTGTGTTGAGCGAACACGATGATGCCATTTTAGATCAGGTTTTGCTTTGATTTTGTTGACGTTGTTTTGTAATTGGTGGTTGGGATGTTGGCGGTTGTGATGGTGGTGATGTTGAGTTGGTGGTGATGTGGAGGAGAACATGGAGGATACGGGGGTGGTTTGATGTTGGTAGTGGTCGTGGTGTGATGTGGGTGGTGGTTGGGGGCGGTGATTGATAAATTTGGATCTAATTTTTTTATAGGTCATGGTTGGTAGTGATGGATTGTCGGGGCTGTCTGTGTCATGTTGTTGGCGGTGGGACTGTGTTAGTAATGGTAGCGCTATTATTTGTGTTGTGGTGGTGGTTGCAAGTGGCTGTGGTGGTGGCAGTAGTTTTGGTGGTGACAGTTTGCGACCAACCATTTGGTTATTCATGACCAACTAATTAATTTTGACCTAAATATTCTATAATTTGTAATTGAAAATAATTTGTAACCAATTAATTTGAAAATTTGTGACATACAAATAAACAATGACTTATAAATTTTTTGATTTGTGACTGATGAAAATAACCGTGACCAATTAATTTGATAATTTGCAATGAATAAATGAGTTGTGACCAATAAAAATTGATTATGTGATCGATGAATATTCTGTGACCTATAAAATTTTTGATTTGTGATCGAGAAATAAGTTGTGACCAATAATTTGATAAGTTGTGTCTGAAAGTTAACCCGTGACTAATTAATTAGATAACTGTGACCAAATTACATAGAATTGTGACGTCAATATATTTAATTAGTAAAATATATGTTTAATAAATTAATTTGTGATATAAAACTTCTGATTTGTGACTAAAAAATAATAAGTGACTAATTAAAATTTTAATTTGTGACCAAATTATATAAATATGTGACCTAAATATATTTAATTAATAAATAAATTAAATCATAAATAAATTTTAATAAAAATATGATTTTTAAAGTTTGAAACTTCTTTTCTTAATTTTGAAATGTGCCATAATTAATATTTTACTTATGAAATTTTTCCAAGCTTAAATCCAATCACTATATCCATATCCATAATCTCATTCCTATAATCCATCTACAATTCAATCCAACTTAAAAATTGATTTTGTGACCGATAAATATTCTGTGACTTATAAATTTTTTAATTTGTGACTAAGCAATCATTCGTGACCTATAAAATTTTTGATTTGTGGTCAAGAAGTAAGTTGTGACCAATAATTTGATAAGGTGTATCCGAAAGTTAATTTGTGACTAATTAATTAGATAACTGTGACCAAATTATATGGAATTGTGACATCAATATATTTAATTAGTAAAATATATTTTTAATAAATTAATTTGTGACGTAAAATTTCTTATTTGTGACTAAAAAATAATAAGTGACTAGTTAAATTGTTAATTTGTGACCAAATTATATAAATATGTGACCCAAATATATTTAATAAATAAATAAATAAATTAAATTATAAATAAATTTTAATAAAAATCTGATTTTTGAAATTTGAAACTTGTTTTCTTAATTTTGAAATATGCCATAATTAATATTTTACTCATGAAATTTTCCCAAGCCTAAATCCAATCACTATATCCATATCCATAATCTCATTCCCATAATCCATCTACAATTCAATCCAACTTGAAAATTGATTTTGTGACCGATGAATATTCTGTGACATATGAAATTTTTGATTTGTGACTGAGCATAATTCGCGACCTATAAATTTTTTGATTTGTGATCGAGAAGTAAGTTGTGACCAATAATTTGATAAAATGTGTTGGAAAGTTAATCTATGACTAATTAATTAGATAACTGTGACCAAATTACATTGAATTGTGACCTCAATATATTTAATTAGTAAAATATATGTTTAATAAATTAATTTGTGACATAAATTTTTTGATTTGTGACTAAAAAATAATAAGTGATTGGTTAAATTGTTAACTTGTGACCAAATTATATAAATATGTGACCTAAATATATTTAATTAATAAACTAATTAATTAATTAAATCATAAATAAATTTTAAAAAAAATCTAATTTTTAAAGTTTGAAACTTCTTTTCTTAATTTTAAAATATGTCATAATTAATATTTTACTTATGAAATTTTCTCAAGCTTAAATCCAATCACTATATCCATATCCATAATCCCATTCACATGATCCATCTACAATTCAATCCAACTTAAAAATTGATTTTGTGACTGATGAATATTCTGTGATCTATAAAATTTTTGATTTGTGACTGAGCAATAATTTGTGACCTATAAAATTTTTGATTTGTGGTCGAGAAGTATGTTGTGACTAATAATTTGATAAGTTGTGTCCAAAAGTTAATCTGTGACTAATTAATTAGATAATTGTGACCAAATTATATGGAATTGTGACCTCAATATATTTAATTAGTAAAATATATGTTTAATAAATTAATTTGTGACATAAATTTTTTTAATTTGTGACTAAAAAATAATAAATAATTAGTTAAATTGTTAATTTGTGATCAATTTATATAAATATGTGACCCAAACATATTTAATTAATAAATAAATTAAGTCATAAATAAATTTCAATAAAAATATGATTCTGAAGTTTGAAATTTGTTTTCTTAATTTTGAAATATGCCATAATTAATATTTTACTTATGAAAATTTCCCAAGCCTAAATCCAATCACTGTGTCCATATCCATAATTCCATTCCCATAATCCATCTACTCATTCACCAAATTCAATCCAACTTATGTAATGAGTTCCAATATTCTCAAATCAAACCCCATTTTTCCCAAGTTGCCAAACTCGAGTAAGTCGTGACTTGTTTTTCTTTCTTCACTCGTCTTTTTTCATTTTCTAGTTTTCTCTTCTCCATCGGTTCTCCACCTAGCCGTCCCTAAGCGGCTCAGCCCTTGCAATAGTCGACTGCGGTGAAAATTTTTATTTTTGACCCTATAGTTCAAAATGTTTGGGTCCGCCTCTACGTATACCGTTGCTGAAGGATCTGAATGAGAAGAAGCAGAGCTTCAAGCGGAACGTGGTTTCATTAGCGTCTGAGCTCAAGGAGCTTCGCAACCGACTTTCTTTACAAGAGCAGTCTTTTTCTCGTGAAATCCTAAATAGACAAGTATGTCAAGAATTCAAGTTTGCTCCTTTGTGTTTGTACTTTTTATCGTACATTTCATGGGTTATATCTTGATTGACAAAGGGTTGGTGGATTTTTTTTTTGGCCTCGGGCATGATTTAGCCCCTGTTAAATTACATTCTATTACATTTTATTTTTTTCTCTTTTATTTTGAACCACATAATCTCTCATAAAATAATATTATACGTAAATCGAAATTTTTTTCTTATTTTTTAACCTCTCATTTTTAAAAAAAATATTATTCATTCCATTTTTATTATCAAAAAATGGGGCCAAAGAGGAGCTCAATGTCAACCATTATATCATACATATCACATAAAACATGATTGTTACAAATAATGTGTTTTGGGAAATGAGATGAGATCAAATGATCTCTACCTTTTGTTTTTATTTTTAAAGGTGAGCAGTGAGTGTGGGCCACTCATTATTTTCGAAAATGTCCTATCTTTGCGAGAGTTAAAGTCTGTTTGGGAGTGATTTTTTCTTCCAAAAAATTAATGTTTTGATCATTATTTCATTATTTCAGTCGTCATATTTGATTTCTTTTCTCATAGATGACCCCCACTTTAATACTAACGATCAAAAAATTAATTCTTAAAATCTCTCCCAAACACGTTCTTAATTTATTTTTGTTTATTATTTATAACAGGAAGCAGAAAGCAAAGCTAAAATCATGGAAAAAGAAATTAGTAGATTGCAGAAAAGCTTAGAAGAGAGAAATGTCCAGCTTCAGGAGTCAACATCTGCTGCTGAGATGGTACTTTATGACAATCCTTTTCTTTTAATGCTTGCCAAGACATCATTTCTTTAAATCTTTAGTTCTGTGTTTTTTTTTCTTTTCTGTATACTGTTCCATAAAGATTCAAGTTTCGTTGTTTTTGCTTTGTTGGGTAATGCGATTATGTGACCTGATGAAGATAGGATCTAACCTTTATTTTGGTTTTTAGGGATTTAATATTTATTTGTATAGGCCCACCATAATCAAACACCTCTGTTACCACTCTTACTGGGGGCGTCCTTGTCGGATTTTTATTTTCTTTTGGTCGGGAATTGGGTGAATAGGAATATTAATGAAAATATTGTTATATAGTATTGGCTCACTTAAAATGGTTATGCAAATTTGAATTGTTCAAGGAATTTGTCTCCTTATAGTTGGAACTTAAAGCTAGCAAAACGGGACTCTTGGACATTTACTAATGGAACTATTTATTGATGGGTTGAATGGCCTTCATTTGACTCTTTGTCAAGCAATATTTGTTTCTACATTCTTGCCTTTTTCCAGTTTGCTATTCAAATAAATATTCTCGTCCTTTTTGACATCCTTATTTTCCTCATTCTCTTATTATTGGTGTCAGACAACTGGTAACAAATATAAGGGAATAAAGATGGTACTTAAGTTTTATGTGACTCAAGACATATGCTTCACAAGTAGGAATATTGGTACTTTTCACCCGAAAAAAAGTTGAAGGAGATTGATTGAGTTTCGGCTCCAGATACATGTATTTTTCTATGTTAGTTATGCTTTTGAGATTTAAAGCTAATTTTTCCATTTTACGAACAACTGACTACTTTCCACAGTTCATACGGTCTTATATTAGTTATTTAATATTGTCCAAATTTTATTAGGAATTTTAGGAAGTCTTAAATCATAGTCAACGACTCAACATACCATTGCTTGACTATTTAGTTTCCTAATATTTTATCACCTGTCCTGATGACTGATTAGGAAATCCAGCAGTCTATAGATACGTATTTTCTCAATTGAATCACCGAGTTGATTGTGATGAATATTTGATATTGTGTAGTTGGAACTTGACGAACCTATGCAAGGGGATGAAGCTCTCGTCTTGTTTCATCCTCCTCCTATAGCACTATTCTTGAGTAGCATTCACAAGAGCCCAAAACATCACAAAAACTCTCTAAAGCCTTCTCTTTTCACCGGAAACTTGTACTTGACCCATTATGTTAACTATTTGGCAATGCAACTCATATAAAAGCCCTAAGAGATCCACCATAGGAGGCTCTATGGAACTTCTTTAAAGCTATCTTATATCAAGTTGATCCTATGCTAGCATCAGATGTTCTGTTCATCTTGTGCTGCTCATTGTGGGAAAGCAAGTTGCTTCCAGGCACATGTAGAACTTGCATAGTATTTTTCTTTTCAATTCAGAAACTACTTATATTAGTTCATCTCAAGCCACGTATAACTAGATAACAAACTAATCATAAGATGAATGTTATGTGAGCTTGTAAATGAGGAAAGATAATACTAAGACCAGATTGGCACAGGGCTTGGTGGGATCACTTCTTCTACAGACATCAACTAGTTGAGCTGTTAGTTTAGAATAGTAACTGCGGGATGCTACTAATAATTTTATAATTTTATTCTTTCAGTTCCACTTATAAAACCTTAATAATGGAGCCTTGTAAATATTTATAAACTGCTACTATTTTATGAAAAGATATGCACATGAGTTAATTATTTAACAGCGAAATGCTTATCAAATTTATTAACAGAAAGTTAATAAAATGAAGAAAGATGTGACATCCCAGAGATCTATTTTAGATTTCTAAAAAAATAGATAATGCGGGACAATTATAAGAGAAAATCATAAATAATTGGAAAAGAGAAAAAAAAAAAATAAAATCAGGAGGATCTACGAAACATGCATAACTTTCAGTTCGAATGTCGGATTTTCGTTCATGAGTACAATCTGGAAGCATTTTTCAATTCTATATAAATTTTTCAGATGACATTGTGAAATTTCATCATTTAGGGGTCCATTTTAACTTTTTTATTTTTTTATTTTTTAGATAGTTTTAAGGATATTTTTGTCTTTTGCAATTTTTTAGTTTTAATTGGATTTTTTTTTTTAGTTTCCTAGTTTAGTTGAATTTATCTATGGAATTGGAATCTCATTTGGATTAGGATTTGTTTTGAGTTCTTATATGTGTTTAGGATTTTGTAAACTAGACATTTTTCTCGATTCATAAGATATTTTAATGTTCTCGTTGATTGGTGGATTCCAAATAATTATTACATTTGTTTCTGTGAAATTTGAGCAAACACTTGTTAGTGTGTTACGAATGAGACCCTTTTATTATTATTTATGTTTTCATCTTGAGTTGGGTGGTATCAGAGTAGGCTTTTCCCTTCTCTATATCTTTGATTTATATCCAAGGGTAACGTACCAATTACTAGGGCAAATTTGGATGCTCAAAATCGATGGCTTGACGATCTTACAATTCTGATCAGAGAGATTCGTAAATTTTTGTTACTGGTTGTTGGTAACAATTGGTAGAATCATTAACCTGGCAATAATGAAATCAACCATGAATAAATCATGGAGCTTGAAGTTCAAAGAGAAAATAAATTGGATGTCAGAGATAGGGAAGAGAAAGAGGAAGAATATATCGATGAAGTTTATGGAGAAGAACAAGAAGATTTTTATGCATTATGGAGAAAAGCCTATGCTCACCCTAGCAGACAGATTTAATTCAGCGTGAAAACACATTTCCAACTAATGATGCTGTTTGCAGTCAGATCATAGATAGTTGCAGCTGTCAGAGTCCGATCACGAAGAAGCTAGTGCTTCATCTGAAGCTGCCAAATGAACTGCATCAAGATCTTTATCAATTTGGATGGATTAAGAAGGGTTTGTCTATTAGGTGACTCATATTTCTAAGGTACCTTTGTAGTTTGAGATTTGTTAAAAATAAGAACTTATTTGTGATCTTGTTCAATTGGATGAGTGTCATATTCTATTGGATAGATTGTGGCAAATTAATGTGGATGGCATACATAAGGATAGAGAGAATGGCTAGTGTTCCAAAAGGCGCTGCCTAGGTGCGATGCATGGCGAAAGCGTTAAGTAGAGTGGCTTGGTGCTTTATTTAGTGGTCAACAGCAATCATTGACTGGTAATGCGCGCTTAGTCTATTTCTTTTTTTTTTTAAGTTAAAACTTACAGGTTGATTTCTTCACTTCGTCTCCTCTAGATTCAGAATAGCCGCTTGAAGCCTTGGACAAAGAAAAACTCTCAAAAATTCCTATTTATTTACTATTTAGTATTTATATTTGAAACTTATTTTTTTGTTGAAACCTTTGAAAAAATGTATAAAGTTCCTATAAATTTATTTTAGATGTTTGGTAGGTATTATTTTTAATTATTAAATGATTTTTTGATTGACTAAAAATTAAAGTAATATTAAAATAAGAAAACGTCTTTTTACGCTTTTTTATATCTATGTGCCTTTTTATGTTTTTTTACGTCTATGTCTCTCTTAAGCTTGACTAGTCCATAGCTTGGCCTCCATGAATTGCCACGTATTACGCTTTTTAGAACACTAAGAATACCTACAAGTTTAAGTGGAAGGATAAAAAGATTACAACAAAAAGTGCATATAAAGCTTCTAAAGTGGAAAGGAAAGATTTTTTGACAACTACAAATTCAAACATTGAGTTTTCCTCCAATGAGTCTTTGTATCTAGATAACAAGTCAGAGTCGAGTTGTTTTGAAGTGGAAGGGAATAATGCCGGACAATTAGAAGAGAAAATCATAAATAATTGGAAAAGAGAAAAAATATAAGGATCTACGAAAGCATAACTTTTAGCTTGAATGTTGAATTTTCTTACATGAGTACAATCTAGAAGCATTTTTTAATTCTACACAAATATTCTGGATGACTTTGTCAATCTTTCATGGTCAAATTCCATCATTTAGGGGTCCGTTTTAATATTTTTATGTGTTTAGATAGTTTAAGGATATTTTCATCTTTTGCAGTTTTTTAGTTTTAATTGGATTTATTTTTTTAGTTTCCTAGTTTAGTTGAATTTATCTATAGAGTTAAAATCTCGTTTATCTAGATAACAACTCAGAGTTGAGTTGTTTTGAAGTGGAAGGGAACAATGCCGGACAATTAGAAAAAAAATATAAATAATTGGAAAAGAGAAAAAAATATAAGGATGTACGAAAACATAACTTTCAGCTCAGATGTTGGATTTTCTTCTATGAGTACAATCTGGAAGCATTTTTTAATTCTACATAAATATTCCGGATGACTGTGTCAATCTTTCATGGTCAAATTCCGTCGTTTAGGGGTCTGTTTTAAAATTTTTATGTGTTTAGATAGTTTAAGGATATTTTCGTCTTTTGCAGTTTTTTAGTTTTAATTGGACTTCTTCTTCTTCTTCTTCAATTTTTTTTTTATTTTTTATTTATTTTTATTTTTTAAGTTTAGTTGAATTTATCTATACAGTTAGAATCTCATTTGGATTAGGATTTTTTTGAGTCTTTAAATATGTGTTTAGAAGTTTATTATTTCACATTTTTCTCTTGATTCATAAGATATTTTAGCGTTCCCTTTTATCGGTGTATTCCAATATTTATTTGGTGGATTCCAAATAATTATCAGGTCCGTTCGAACGAAATTCGAGCAAACACCCGTTCGTGTGTTATGAACAAGACCCTTTTATTATTATTCACATTTCCTTCATGTGTCAATAGAACATTGTTATTTATGGTATTTCAATCTAATCAATGAAAAAGGTATTAGTAATAATAATGTTGAACTAAAGCTTAAAAGCAGTAGTTGTCTGAATTTGTTTCAAATTAAGCTGATATTTTTCACATAATATTTTTCCAGTCTTTGCTAAGTCCAAGACTTCAAATTCAGAAATCTGAGAAACAATAATATTGTTACCATAGTGCAATATAAATGGCTGCATATCATTGGTTTTTTGGTGGCCGGGATAACTTAAGTTTGTTTAGATCTCAGGTGCCAAATTCTGCTGTGTTAGTAGATAATCTGGGTTACTATTGTTAGTTAAGCTATTTGTTCAGGTCAACATTAAATGTCCAGTTCAAGTTGCTACTTCCTCTACTTTAATCTTAAGATGTCAAATGACTGAAACATTATCTATGGATCTCTTAATTTCCACGGTAGTATGCAGTTTTCACCTTTGGACATTATCATTTGAGCACAAGGCTTCATATTTCAAAGTTCGTCTGGTACTTAAGTAGAATGATATGAATTAACTTGGCATAACAAGTCCAAGCTGCTGACCTTAAAATCTGTGGTTAAGATTGAGTCTACTTAAGCTCTATATTGAATTTATTACTTCCAGTATGTTTTTATAAACGTCAAACGAGAACAAAGTGGAATTGGACTTTTCAATTGATGTATAAAAGAATATATATTTTTTTAATGTAGTTTGGCCACTAGTAACATGGAAAAATGCTGTGTCATTATATAGGTGCAATATTGTAGTGATTAGTTTTTTCCATTCTGTGGATCTCTAACCTGTCTTTTGTCGGGTTTTGTATATAGTCTCTTTCTGCGTATAAACTTTATTGTGCTTATTTTTATTAATGTTGAACTGCAGTTCAACAAGGAACTGGATGATCTGAGATCACAGCTTTCAGCAACTAAAGCTACTGCAGATGCAAGTGCACAGTCTGCTCAATCTGCAGAAGCACAGTGTTTGGCGCTTTTGAAAGAATTAGAAGAGAAGAATTTCTCTTTAAAAGAGCATGAGGTTCGTGTGAATAAACTGGGAGAAAAACTTGATATTCTTCAGAAAAATCTTCGAGCTAGGGATCTTTCCCAAATGCAACTGAAAGATGAAGTCATGAGAAGAGAGCAGGAGATCATGCAAACATTAGCTAAGGCTGGAGCGAATAAAGATTGTGAACTTAGGAAAATGTTAGACGAGGTTTCCCCTGAGAATATTGAAAAGATGAATAGGCTTTTGACAGTAAAGGATGAAGAAATAGCTAAACTGAGAGATGAAATAAGGATTGTGTCTGCTCATTGGAAGCTTAAAACTAAAGAGTTGGAATCTCAGGTTTTTTCATCTTAATGCGATCGCTTATAGTAGCAATTCTAAAGTTAAGCTCTGTGATTACGTTGCAATCTTTTTTATGTATGTAAAGATTAGTGTGTTTTTTGTTTGACAGTTAGAGAAGCATCGTAGAGCAGATCAAGAGTTGAAAAAGAAAGTTCTGAAATTGGAGTTTTGTCTTCAAGAGTCTCGTGCTCAAACTCGCAAACTCCAAAGAGTAACTCTCTCTCTCTCTCTCTTTCAGAATTTGTGTTACTGCAAGACAAAATACCGGTCTACTTGCAATTGTTATTCTTGTTGGTTCACCTACTTTTCTTGCTTGCTATTGCTGTGATGCTGTAATATAATTCCAGATACATTTTTGTTGAAGATTTGACTCTTTCAATTAGAACTTTTTGCACATGAATGCTGTGCTGTATTGGACCTTTTTGAACAGTACAGTACAAAACTTTTCAAGTATCGTTTTCTGCTTGAATATTGTATAATCCAACTTTCCAAACATACGACTTTGTGATAACACATGTTTACAGAGTAATCATTGCTGAAATCCTTGACATTTACGTTGTTACTTATTACATTATTCTTTCTTGTTAATCATATTAATAAATACTTCAATTGTTAATTCGTTCCTCAGATGGGAGAGCGAAGGGATAAAGCTTTAAAAGAACTCAGAGATCAACTGACAACAAAACAACCCAAGAACACTGAAAAGCAGAACTTCTGGGAGACACCCAGTTTCAAAATTGTGGCTTCAATGTCAATGTTGATCTTGGTAATGTTCTCGAAGCGGTAAGGTTATTGTGTTATTTATATATTATTAGCATTGTACAATAGGATTAGATGATGGGGAGGCCAAGCTGAGCAAATAGGGTATCACTTATCAGCAGGTTTTGATCTTCTTTGTAAAATGTGCATTCTACAGGTCTTTTTTCATTTTTTTTTTTTAACATTTTCCTCAGACAGCAAAACCCATTTTTTTGCCTTAAATATTAGAGAATGAAGCAGGCATTAATTGTAGAGACAGATTTGGCATACAGAAGTTTCTTCATAGGGATTTTACAGCACACACACAATGGGGTGGGTGGATATTTTTTTAATAATATTTTAATCACGTGGGGTCCACCCCATGTGAGTATTCTGGTTCCATCCTATAATGCATTATTCTGTACACACAGAATAATGCCTAATTGTATGGCCAAAAGTTTTAGATGAAAATGTGGGATTCTATTCTGTTGCTACATTATGAGTAGTGCAATATAACCTCTTAGCAATTTTTTATTCATTTTTTTTTAATTTTAATTTGTGGTTGGTGTATACTGCTGAAGTTAGGTCCATTATCTTGGTACATGGTTGCCATGGTGCTAGTCTGGTGGCTCTAATTTTAAGCATCAGCTATGTTCTTAGGCATCCAATTGCTGGGTTTGCAGGACACGATGGGCAATTATTCTACTAGATCGTTCTCTTTCACTACTTTGGTCCTTCGTGAGAGGAAGTGTTGAGAAGAAATTAGACAAAACAGAGTGATTTAAAATTGTCCAAAAAACATTGTTAATGAAAATTTTGTTAGCTCCTGTTTGGTTGAGTTAAAAATTTAGATTAAATTTAAGTTAAAAGCACGCATTTTTTGGGATCCAAAAATTTTTAATTATACATTTAATCATCTTTTATCGAAATCTATTAAAAATTTGGGATATAATGATTTGAAAGTGAGAAAAGAACCAAAAATGGATTTTTTTTCCGGAAAAAGTACATAAATATAATATTATAAGAATACAAATTTGTAAAAATGTTTTACAAATCAAATGTTAAATTAAAATAACAATAATAATATATTATATTATATTCTCTCTCCTCTCTCTCTCCCCTAGATAATTCACTTGAATCTATCATGCATCTGTCCATTTCTTTCCCATTCTTCAAATCTACCATTACCACAGGCACAGCCATCCCTCTCCATCCGTTGCCACTGCAGCCACCACCTCCAGTTGCTTGGTTCCACCTCCGCCACCAGTCTCCACAATATCTTCCCCAAAATTCTCATAGTAGCCAGATTATCACACGTAATTCACAAAATACTTCACTTCTCTTTTAAAACAACAAATGTCTGGTCTTGACTCTCACGCCATCAACTCGACATTGATGATTTTTTTCTTACTCTGATTCAGATGACGATGATGACTTCTATGCTACGACGAAGATGGGGTATGTGCGGATTTCACCTTGGATCAATTTCTTCTTTACTAATTATCACGGTGACTATTTGTTACTAGATCATTTTTTTTCTTCATCATATATGCAATACGCAGATCAAACTATAGAATGCAATCTCACATTCACTCTTCAAAAATCGTCATTGACTATTGTACATGATTACATTTTATGTGCAAAACATGAAATTCTTCGAGTCCCATTTTTTGAGAATATTTTGTATAAAATGAATTTTTGAAAAATATGCAATTTAAAACTTAAAAGTAGAAAAAATGAAATTTAAATTTACAAACAAAATTTTTTCGTTAAAAGAATGCAAAATTGCAAACATGATAACAAATCTTTTTCTTCTCTGCAGATTTGATCCAAATTTCTACTTTGTGACACCACTGTACCAAACTTTTCAAAAACTCGCATTTGAAGTCCAAATGGATGAATTTGAACATTAGTTAACCAAAATAATAAACTTTGACCAAGTTTTAAATGGCAAAATAGTAACCTTACAATTTTAATATATAATATATAAATAAATACTACATAATGGCAAAATAGTAACCTTACAATTTTAATATAAAATAAATAAATAAATACTACATAAAAGGCTCTCTGTCCATTTCCTCTCCTTCAGCAACCCCACCCCACGCCACCCAATGCTGTTAGTACACAGCGCCGGCACCACCCAAAAACGACTGCAATGACCTCCATGAAAATGAGCTTGAATTCGTATTGTTAGTGAGTAATAAAAATGATGAAGCAATAGTGGGAAAAAGTGAGCTTGAATGTAGGACTACCATTATTTGCAGATTCGGAATTTGGGAAAGAAGGGACCAAGCTGGTGACTTCAGAATCAGTTTTTGCATGCATCTTCAGCATGTTTTTTAATGGGAATTTGTTCCTGAAATTTGGATTCTCTCAATTTCGACACCGAGGAAAAGGACTTGGCCTGTTAAGAGGTTGGGATTTCTTAAATGTTTGGCCAAGCTTACATTTTGTGGTGGCTGTGGTTGTGGCAGGCAACAACGGCGACAACTGCAGCGTCGACGGCAGGGGCTGTGGTGGTGGGCGATTTTGGTTGGGTATAGGTGGAGGGGTGGCGTGTGTATTGGGAAAGGGATGATGAACAGTTACTTTAGTTAGGTGTTCGTTTTTTTTGAAGTTATAATTTTACCCATTTTAAAATTGATCGACACGATCAATTTTCCAATTTCAATGTGATGAAATCAATCTTATCGTACTCTAAATGTTATTATTATCATTTTTTTAAAGTTTGGTACCGTAGGTATCAAAAAGTAAAGATTTGGGTCAAACCTTCATAAAAGTGAAGGGTTTGTTGCCGCGACTACAATTTTCCATTAAAAAAATTATTATTGAAAATGAATTTGAGAAAAATAAATCTTAAAAAATATAACTCAAATAGGGGCGAAATTAAAATTTTCAACAAATATGAAAGTCGTCTCTAGGAAAAAATAAAAAATAAATAAAAAATTATTTTATTTCCTTCACCCCCCTTCGATCCTTCAGAGGTTTTCGATGGCTGGGATAAATTTGGTCAAACTTCAAAATGCCATTTTGCACCCCAAGTTTTGGACTCAATCTCACTTTCCTCCCCACTCGAGGGCACAGTGTCAATTTACCAAAAGTGACAGAGCCCACTCCTCTCAACTTCCAATTTTGGCAGACAAATATTTAGCTCAAGTCATGAGAATAAAGAGCCAACAGATAGTATCTACAAAAAGACTCGAGCTTCTCTATCGAGCCTTCCTCTTTCTCAAGTTCACTTGTCAGCCATCAACATGATCTCACATATGGAAAATCGAGGACAACTAATGACATACGATACAAGAAGAAACACAGGCATCTTTAATTAAAGAATACCGTTATGAACTGGACAGTTCAACGGACAAATTTAGATTCGCTTTCTTATTGACTACCTAACACTGTCCACTTTATTAATCATGTCAGGATCATATTTGCGTTCTTATCCACCGACACCGAAGACTGAATTAGCAGCCAACAAAAAGATCACACGCATGTTAGGGAGGTTCTACATCATACAGGCAAGAAAGTAGTAACAGAAGTTTGTTACTATGTACATACCATCAGCCTTCCAAGAACTATAAGAAACATGCTGAAAAGAATGCTGTTGAATGGCATTCAGACTCCTTCCATTATCAACACCATTTTCACTACTAAGAACCTGAAGTCAGATAAATGATCAAAGGAATGATGAACTAAGTGAGACTTGAATTAAACTCATCAGAAAATATTGCCGGTCGAAGATGTTGATTCACCAATAGAGCAACCCTGTGGAAGGAAGAGAATACAGATTAAATTGTTAAACAGCAGCACACCATGGAATAAAAACACAATAAAAGCTTATCAAAAGCCAGCACATCTTTAAATTGAAGTGAGAGTAAAACAATATCATCTTTCGATAATCTAATGGCATGCATGAAACCCAGTGTTTTGATTCATTCTTTCAAAAAAATACATTCTTAAACAATGATTTGACATAATTTCAAGTACACATTCTTCATCAAAATATTAATATTACACACAAATTCAAAACTTTTCCTCATTTTTTAACCACACATTTACCATCAATATACTATTAAAAAAAGCATTCTTATGAAAATAATGTGGCTCAAACAAGGGCTAAAAAAATTTTAAAACCATTTTTTCAACTATACAGTATAAAGCAATTAAAATATTAATAATACCGTAAAAGTTAGGTGCCCAATTTTCAAAGTGTAAAAGGGGACGATTGCTTGATAATTTTTTAATATTCTATTGGTTAAAAAGGAAAGTTACATTCTTCTTAGAAAAAAAGAAGGCTAAATTATTTTTTTCCCTCCCAGTTGATTGATATATTTAATAAAACACATCTCTGTCTTAAAAAAAGAAAAGTCGCCTATGTACCTAACAAATAAAACATGCTGCTTGGCCCTTTAATAAAGGCAAGTCAATTGGACAACTATGTTTTCCCTAACTAAGCACACTTAATAAGAGAAAGTGTGTTACTTTAGATTAGGAATCTGAAAAGTAAATTCGTCATCTAAGGTTTCCTTCGCCATTAGTGCCTTTTTGATTGATAAAATGGAAAGAGCCCAAAGCCACCAACCCCCAATAGCGACAGCAATGTTGCAGGCTTGCAATTTAGCTATCAGAAAAGGACGAAGTCGATATATGTCATGTGAATTTACATTCTTTTTTTCGACCATTTGCAAGTAATCACGTAGTGTCATGAACTTCCAAAGGCATGTAGGAGGAATATTCACGATGTTTGGCAATATAAAATTAGAGAAAATGATGGAACCACCACGTGGCATATTCAACATGTGTCAAAGGCATGTTGGCCACGTGTCGATGCTCCATAGTGCTGTACACTTCAAAAAATTGCCTCATAATCAGCATCTTAAAGTGTTTTGCAAGCCTTAATCTGATGCGAACCTTAAGATGAGTTTCAATTGGGTTTGTTAAACCATGGGAATAAGGAATGAGTAGTTAAAGTACAATAGCTTTCTTTATTTACGTAGTTGGAAATAGACATCTTAGTCTCTTAATTCATCATTTGAAAGCAAGAAGTTTTGCATAGAGGAGTATACGCATTACGACAGCTCCAATACATATTAAAAAATATTCTATGCAGAGGATAGGTAACAAATCGAGAAAAGATTCTGGTAGTCGAAGGAGCTAGGGTGCAGTGACAAACTCTTGGGAGAATATGCATAAATTCTGTAAAGATGCTAGGGTCTAAGAAGCACATACACGGACACGGAATAACATGGCGCACTGAAACAAAAATTTTCACAACAGTCGGACACCAACGCATGTCCCTAAACTATCCCTCAAGTGTCAGACATTTAAAGAATAAGACACAACACTTGGCTTGTCAGACACAAGTATTGGAGTGTCTGAGGAGTGAGGAGCATCTAGGCGTGCTCGTGCTTTATAGGATAGGGAGAAAGCCTCACTCTGAACCACTTGACAGTGAAGGTGAAAAAAAACATGGAAAGCTACTGACAATACAAAAGGTATTGGAATATCAACAAGCCAAATGTAAATCTAACAGACAGACTAACACTCAGAATATCTACATTAGCGTAGGAGCAGGATGTTTCCAAGAAAGCAATGAAGGAAGATCTACATAGACCATGAATATGTTGACATTATGAACAGTCAAGGAAGTATAGATGGAAGATGTTCCTTTCCACTCAGGTCAATACAGTTTGCTAATGAATGGAAGCCATCTGATATGTTAAAGGATGTTAAATAGATATATGTAAACGATGCAGCCAAAAAGATCATAAAGTATACTTACATAGTTTATCATTCCAGCAAAATCTCTTTACAGCTTGATTTGTTGTGCCCACTACCCTTGCATCTACTGCATTGAAGTTGACGTTTTGCTGCATCCTGTGAGCCAATTTTCTTTGTAGTAGGCCGGCCTGGTGGACGACGAGTTGGAGGAGGGGTTACAGCCACTGCCAACTGAGAAGAGCCCTTCAGCCAGGGGCCATCTATATTCGAAACAGGATGTATTGACTGTGAATATGTTACTCTATAGTTATTAGTAGTGAAGTATCTAGAACAATAATCATATGGATCACGGTTAACACAAGTAATGACAGCGATTGCATGGCAGCAGGGTAATCCAGTAAGCTGCCACTCCTTGCAACTACAAACACAGTTATCCACATCAACAGTTTCAATGGTATCCCCACGTACCTCAAATCTGTTACCAGCTGATATTAATACCTGAAGGGTTCTAACTTTAATGTTTTCTTTTTCGAGTTTCCCCTCCATTGATGGAGTTAATCTTGTCTGCCAATGGTTAGATTCTGTCTGCCGGGTATATATCAACTCCATAATCTTACCTCGAATGGCATCAACCATCTGGATTATTGGCAATTCATGTGCATCTGATAACCAACTCTGGAACAGTTCTCCGAAGTTTGAAGTCATGTGGTTATATCTTGCACCTTGGAAGAATGCATTTGCCCAATGAACAGGCTCACTTTGCATGATCCAACTGTATGCTTCTATTGAAATAGTTTTGATGCTTTCCACACATCTTTGGAAGTCTTCAGGGGTAGAAGCATGAGCAGCACTATAAAAATCTTCAACCATAAGACGCTTCACTTCATGAGAAAACTGTCCCTTCAAGTCTCTGATAAATTGCTCAGAGAGATGGGTCAGGCAGTAGCTATGGTAAACATCATCATTCTGAAAAATTTCAGCAATTGACTCTTTTAGTCCCTTCTCTCTATCTGCCACAAAAGTTATCCCACGACACACTGACAAAGCAGTTTTGAGTTGTAGTAAGAACCAATGCCAGTTGTCATCAGATTCAGCATCCACAACAGCAAAAGCAACAGGAAAAACACCATCATTCCCATCAACAGCTGTTGCTACCAAAAGTGTGCCTTGATATTTAGACTTCAAAAATATGCCATCTAGGAAAAGCAAAGGACGGCAGCCTTGTTCGAAGCCATATAGGGAAGCATGGAAAGACACAAAGAGGCGATGGAAGCTCGAGTCTTCTTTAGTGGCAAAAGTCGCTAAACTTCCGGGATTTGTTTCCATTATCTTCTCACAGAAAAGTGGTAACTTACTATATGCCTCTTTGTAAGAACCCTGGAGCTGCTCCTTAGCAATTTCTTTCCCCCGCCATGCCTGAAAGTAATTCAACTGGATCCCAAATTCCTCTTTGATGTCTTTAACAATGTCTTTGGGCTTATAGTTCGGAAAAACTTTCAACTTCTCCTTCACGATGCTAGCAACCCAACTTCTTGTTGCCTGAATGCCAGTTGTAAGTGCAGATCCTTCACAAGAATGTGTTGGAATCATTTTCTTAATACATATCAGCTGAGTGGTCACCAACCTTGATGCATAAATTCTCCATGGACAACCATCGGCCTTGCATTTAACAGATACACGATGACTATCATTTTTCTTGTATTTGAAAGCAAACTGATGTGCCAGGGCATATTTACGTAATGCCTCGCGAAACTCATTTACACTATTGAACCTTTGTCCCACCCCAGTAATAATGTTCAGCCACTGCTCAGCAGCTTTAGCATCTTTCTCATCATAACTAACAAAAGAAATTGGTACAGGCATTTTAGAACGAACGGGCCTTTCAGTTGGTACATCAAAAAGAGCCTCAACATGGTTAGTATCGACAACCACATCAAAAGAGGAATCAAGTAGCAGTTCAGGCTCGTTCATGTCATTTACAATCATATCTGGCGAAGCATCAGCAGGAGCCGCTTCTGACAAAGTTGTCCTACTCGACCTGCAAGTTAAAATGTCCCTAAATGCATTATCTACAGAAGAAAACAATTCTATACTACTAGACAGCAAGAGTACTACCTACTGCCAGGCATGTTGGAGACATCAGGATCAACAATTTCTTCATTCATTACGTATATCTCTGCAGTGTCAGAGTTACCAAAGAATTTAATCATGCGCTTGAGGTCTTTGTCATTGGTGATGGAGATAAGTGTCTTCTTGTTTGCCGGAAGGAAATATTTGATGGACATAGTACTTAGATTGCAGTTAAACATCTCTGCTACCTCCAACTTGAAATCTTTGAACTTCATTTGACCATCGATTTCCATAGCATGAGCATCACCACCTTTGTAAGAAAGTACACCATCAGTATCTGTCTCAAATTCACCTCCCGACTGACAAATGGTGATAACTTTCTTCGCTACCATGGTTTAACTCGCTGTTCAAAAGAACAACCATTAGGAAAGGTACACAACAGATTCATGCCAAACAAAAAGAAAATTCACATATCACAATCTCAAATCATGAAGAATGCCACGATCAGATTAGCTGGACTCCATAATTACCAATCAACTTGGTGTTGAGACATCTAAACTCTTATAGCATGTTTGGTAATGAGAATTTGATAGTAGTGGACAATATTACTGAAGAAAATTAAGCAAATTTGTTGTTTATTGTTCTGTCCAGTCTATCCAGCATTGCATACAAAACATACACTTAATATTCCTCTTGAATGCAAAAACTTCTGACGTTAACTTTCAAAACAAAAATTGGGGGTTAAGTTTAGGTGCAAATCAAAATGGACTTAATGGAGGAAAGCTGTCAGACAAAAGGAAATCCACAAACAGCTCAACAAAAAACCAAATATTCTTCTCTTCCTTATATCTATTAATCCCGAGTCTCTTATCATATCCACTCCTCTTGGTGCCTAACATTGCCAGGAGAGTACATTGAGAAAAAAATAATTGAACGGCCTTAAGAGAAATAGCACAGGAGTAACATCCTTTGAAGTGCAAAAACTGAAAAATCCAAATATATAGTTTAATCAAATGGCCCATTCTGCAGCTTCCTCAACATTAGACCCACGATTTAACTGCAAATTATTTAAATGTCTCCAGATTGGGAATCCAAAATCTGAAATCCCAACTATTCAGAACCGAATTTAACCACAATGCAGTCAGCATTCACGTTGAAAGTAAAAAACAGATTTAAACAAACTAAACAAACCCAGGAAGAAACTAAACTAATTTCTAGAAAAGATTCTAAAACCAAACCCGAATTAAATAAATAAAAAAAAAACCCTAAAACCTCAAATTCATAAAACCCGACAAAAAGATTATACCATTAAAAAATAATAAATCTTGTGCTAAAATACTAAACCTTTAGACGGTTCTGGGATAATAAATTAGGGAAAAAAAAGTGCTTTTCCAGAATGGCTCAATTCATTGTGGAGTGATTTGCAGGAGGGAGCGGAAATGGTGGAATTTGGGTGCGAAATCTAGTGTAAAAAGTTGATAATTACAATTTCGAACCCGAAGAGAGACAAGAGTGATGGATCTGATTTGATTCTATTCTGAGGCTCACATCAAATAACGAAATAATTCAATTGCAGAGAAGATAGTGAATTTCAGAGAAGAAAAGGTAAATAGGGAATGTTGCAGGGCATCCAGTTACGGAAACGTGATGATGAATTGAATTGGATTACCGTGTTGGGCCCAATTAGGGCTGCTCGAGATGTGTACGGAACAGGCCCAATATGTCTTCCTCCAGAGTCCATGGAGCCCATGGGCCCCTCTAGCTTTCTTTTCATTTAGGGAAAAAATCATATCTATGTTATTAAAAGCCTATTTGGAAGTGATTTTTTTTCAAAAAAAAATTGATTTTTTAACTGTTATTTCACTATTTCGTCCATTATATTTGACTTCTTCTCTCACAGGTGAACCCCACTTTTCTCCTAATGATCAAAAAATCAATTCTCAAAATCACTCTCAAGCATGTTCTAAGTATACAACAAAGCAATTCTCAAGTATTAAGTTTCAAAATTCAAAAATTATATATATATCACAATTTATTGATTAAAAATTATTTGGTCTAAATTAATTTTTGGTCACAAATTATCGAATTAAGTGATAACAAATTATTTCACGGTCACAAATAAAAAAATTATAAATCACAATTTATTTATCGATCATAAATAACAAATTTTATAGGTCACAACTTATTTCACGATCACAAATTATCAAATTAATTGATTATATATTATTTCTCGACCACAAGTTATTTTCCATCACAAATCATCGAATTACTTGGTTACAACTCACCAATTTTTTGTCACCCTTCCAAATTTAATCATAATGGTTACAAATTATTTGTTGGTCATAGCACCCGAATAAAGGTCACACTCTTCCTTTCCACTCCACTGTCACCACTGTTGTCATTATCATCGTCGCTACCACAATACCTCACCATCACCACCAGCAGCGCTACCACCACCACACATGCTGTTGCCAACAAATGCAAAATCATCACCACAAAACCACCACAGCAACCACAATACCCCCACACACCATAACAATTGTAAAAAACACCACCACAACAACCATCGGCCACATAAATCACCATAACTATGGAAGAAATCAAACTTAGAAATTAACAAAGAAAAGAAATAACAGATCTGCATCATTGTGGACCAACTACTGTCAAATTAGAAGCAACAACGATGGCGCGTGACGACACTATTCACATGTTGAATCAAATCACGACAGACGACAGTAATGTCTTTTCCCAAATTGTTTTTTTGTTTTTGTGTGTAGCAATGGGCATGACGTCGCCGTAAAGGTGGAAGTACAGCGTGAGAGTCGTTGCTGCGCCGTGAATAGTCATTGGAGTGGGGTGCACCGTGAAGGATCATTGAGTGTAAACTGATGGATTGAAAATGAATTATTGGTTGGGTGGTGGAAGGGTTTGATGGGTAGCGTATGTAAGTTTATTTACTTTTATAATAATATTATTATTATATATTAATTACCTGATTTTTGCTTAATTAAACTTTTTACTCGATTTAAGAATCGTGATCTTGAAAATCCTGGTGGGATTTAATTCCCACTTTTATTTAGCCCCTACTTGGTAGAAATTAAAAGTCAAATTTTAATCTAAGTCAAAGTTAACAATTGATTTTAATAATATATTTCATAAAATCCATGAATTTTTAGTTACACATTGTATCAATTTTTATCAAAATTTAAAAAAATAAAAAATAATAAAAAATCTGATTTTAATTCCTATCAAATAAGGGCTTATTTTAGGGGAAACTTGACAAAAGACCCACAAAATTTTCAAAGTTGAAAATTGCACTCTTTTTCAAATTTTCAAGAGGTACATCATTTCATTGTTTACAATTTACCAACCCTCTCCCTCTCCCTCTCCTTTATTTATTATTTTTTTTTCTCAAATACCTCATTTTCATTTGAAGTTAGCATTTCATAATTTTCATCTAAATTTAATATTTTAACATTTTTAATTTCAAAACAACATTTTGACACGGATAACATGTTATTTTGCCATATATTACTTTATTAAAAGTTCTCGTTTTAAACAAGTAACATTTGTTATTCTATGTTATCCTTACTTTTTCTCTCTCTAATTTTACATATGTCATAGATTATTTGAGATACCCCATATTAATTATGTTATTCTTATTTTTGTAAAACCAATATTATCAACAAAACCTCATCATCACCACGTTACTTAATATATCACAATCCCCATGCCATCATCTCCCGCCACCACCACAAAACATAGATATCGCATTATCTTACTGTTTCGCGTGGGTAGTCGCTAATAATTAAAAAGGGATCAGACGATTGTGTAAAGAACAAACCTCTTGAGATAAAGTCCCAAAAAGAGGTGTTTTATTGGCGATGACTTTACAATTGGAATTTAAACAGAATGCCTTCAAGGGGCATAAGCACACGGGTATTGAAAAGAAATGTTTAAGTCTAAACTAAGAAATTGAAATTACATATTCTCTGTTTGAGAGTGTTTGATTCTGGTTTTTTTGCTCTATGTCTTCTCTTCCCTTTATATTCCCTTGATGATTTTTTCGTGATCAACCGCTTAGAAACTGTTTGATTGTTTTATAACTACACACTTCCTTCATGGTGACCAACTTATCGTGGATTTACCGTCTCTAACTGCTGTCACTAATCTTTGTCGTTCAACCGTCTTCAACGGAACTCCTTGAATCGTGGAATGTGATAAGATTACTCAATAACTGCTTCGATAACTGCACTTTTGGATAACCATAACATCTTATATTTGCTAAGATTCTGGGCGATTCGAAGGTTTGGGCGAGAACATGGTTATAACTCTGGGCGACTGCAAGGTACTTCATTCGCTCAGATTTTGGCCGTCTTGCAAGTTTGGGCGATGGTGTTATCGTGTTCGTGGGCTTCCACTGCATTCATTAATAACCCTATTTGGGCCTTTATCCTGAATTGCCCAGTTGGACTTTATTCTTTGGGCTATTCGATTTGAGCTGCACTTTTAGCTTGTCAACACTTACATGCTTGAAACTACTCCATCACAAAACACCACTACACCAGTAAAACATTATGTTGCGTATTCGAAACCACTCCACCACCACAGCAAAATTCGAATAACACATTATGTTACTCTTCTCAAACAATTTCCACAACACAGTCAGCCCCCTCCACCACCACAAAACATGGATTAACACATTATCTTACTCGAATAAACTACACACACCCCTATCCGCCATCACCACCACAAAACACAAGTAATGTTACGTAAAAAATATCCCCACACCAATGCTACCATCACCACCAAAACACAAGTACCACATTATGTTACTCGTCTAAAGTAATTCTCCATCATCATCTGCCGCCACCATCATCGTTGGATAAATTACCACCACATTCTGAAATTGAATTACGTTATATAAAGTTACCATTATATCTTATATGATTTAATAGACTATGGAATCTCTTTAGGGACAAATGATAAGGCACCGACCTGCCAAGAACCATGTTAACTTGAGAATGAATAAATAACAGGCTTAAACCACCAGTAGGACCAGAATTTAATACATTCATCGATGTCAAAGTTTGGACATTTCGCGATAGTTTAATCAGCTTCTTTGTGTTTATGTAATTTCAATAAGGTATCAGCTTTTAAGGAAAATATCTTCATCAATTACCGCAACAAAAACTAAGATTTAATTACTTTTCAATTTTAATTTGGAAAGCATATGCTATCACATTAAATGTGGTAATCTTGAGTAATGCTATTGATAAATGCATTTTTTGCGCTTATTCGAACTTGATTCTTTTTTAATTATATATAAATTGAGCAATTATCTATTTAATTTGTGTAAATTATTTTAATTGTAGGAAAATCCCGACTTGTGTACAATTTATATGAAAATAGGTTATTTGGAGCTTAATTGGAGTTGATATGAAGCAATTAAAAATTAACTGGATTGCAAGAGATCAATTGAAAATATCAATGAAGCATTTGGTAAAAAAATTCATAAGTTTCAGGAGTTAAATTCGACATTTGGGAAAGTTTGAAGATTAAATTGCAAACTTCAAAAGTTGTCTCGGGTCAACTATTATGATTTTGGAATGAAGAAGACTTAATTGCAAAATAAGATCGAGGGATAAAGTTATAGGAGAAAATGAGTTCAATTGAAAAATAAATTTTTTTCCTTTTATTTCCTAAACTCCTCAGTGGAAATTAATTTGTACTCTTTAGTAGAAACTAATTTAAACTTTTTGGTAGAAATCAAGTTGAATAAGGATTTTCCATAAATCTTTTCTATAAATACAACCGTTAGTCCAACAATTAAAGAGGGCATATAGGATTTCATTAGATACATACATTCAAACAAGGCTTGGGGGGTTATTGTACATATATTATATAAGCCAGAAGAAGGGAAAAATCAAGAAGCAAGGGTTTCAAGGATTTTACAAGAAGAGACGGATTCTTGATGCAAGATCTGCACCTTTTCCTCTTTTTTCCTCAATATCTAGTGGTGTACTTTAATTCCTTATTGTATTTTTATCCTCCCATGAAATGTAATTAAGTATTTGGTTAGGATGAATGATTATAACCTTGTTTTTGCTTAAAGAGTTTTAGATCTCCAATTTATTTTGTAAATTATTTTTACTTCTATTCTTAATACTTGGATTAATTGGCCACTAATTCATTGATTTAATGAACAATAAGTATGTAGAGAAGCGGATTTTTTATTTAGACTATGTAGTAAAAATTGGTAACTAGCATAAAACATAGAGATACTTATACTGATTATTGCGGTTGTTACATGAATTCTTCTCTTGATCACTGACTCGGGACTCCCATTCACTAATTCGGGATTTCATTTCCCTATTGCGAGCCTCCTAGCATTGAAAGATTTCTTTAAGGCTGAATTTTCCTTCTTGAAGTTGCTAGCTTCCTTGTCCTTGTTTCATCTAGAGCTTCTAACTCAACCGTTAGAAGGCGACTCGCCCCAACAAGTAAAGTTTTTGCATAGTTAAAACTCATCAGGCAAATAGTAAAAGCGGAATACAATTGTCATGGGAACTTAGAGGTGTGAATATAAACAAAAATGAAGAAGTAGAGCAAGAAGAATACCCTTCTGTTGTAGACTGCCAGGA